TCATTCGTATTGTTCCCTGCCTGTAGCTATGTTGTTGTTATTGTTGTTGCTGTTATTTTACTTTTATTGCTTTCTTTATAACATGCACAAATGTCTTTTATTGCTTGCACTTAAAGTCTCATTTTTGTTCATTTTTTCAAAATAACTTGAGGAAAATATTGCAGCAAAAATATGCGTTGGTTTGATGTATTCCAAAAAAGAACCAATTTTCCTCTATCTTTTTCAATTTCAATTGAAATTTAATGCCGTTTTTCGAATTGCGCAGTTTTCAAATGAAGATTGACTGGAAAAAGCTAGCACAAAGCTTCAAATAAAACATATATATTTACAATATAGCTTTTCTCTTCTCAAATATTTCCTTTTTCTATTTTCTTTTCAATTCTCAACCGAACAAATAAAATCGAATCATGCTTGTAAAATAAGATTTCTTTCTCCTCCCCTTCTCTTTCTTCCTTTCTCTCTTTCTCCCTCTCTTCTATTTCATCATTTACCAACACAGAAAGTTGAGATTTATGGTTGAAATAAAACCGAAACAGGTTTTCTCTTTCATAAGAATCACGAACTTCAACAGCAATTGCGCAATGGAAAGTTAAAAGACAAGGACACATGCATATGTACAAACAAACATTCATACATGTGTACACAAGTTCCTTCCGTATCTTTTCAGGATGGAATTACTCAAAAAATGTAAACTAATAAAGTACCTTAGCTTATGACAGTAACTAGTTAACTGATAATTTCGAAGTTTTGGTTTCAACAGATTTTGTTTTCCAAAATTTATATAAATAATCTCTTTAAAAGACTTTTTAACTGGTTCATGTCGTTCATATCTTTTTTTATTTTTACTAAAACCCCTTGTATTTCTTCAGGTTTCTCAAGTAAAGTTCCATTCTTTAGAATTTCAAATAATGGCATGAAAAACATACAGCTATTAACTCTGTATACAATTCAACACAAGCTTGAGGAACCGTAAACCAAAAGACTACTGTACCTGAAATAATATTTTCTAGAAATACTGATCGATGATTTCCAAATCGATTTTCATTTCCTATTCTTATGCTTTACGCTCTACGTTCTTTGGCTTTAATTACCACCCTTCGAACTGAATGGAAGACACATAACGTTTCAAAAATTAAACTTAAAAAAAAAATGAATTTAGTTAAAACTCCCGTGCTGCAAAAAACACACATTTATGTAGAGAAAAGAAGAAGCAGGATGGAAAGCGCTTAAATTTAATTACTGTATTAAAATAAATTTGATACTTCACGTTTTGCTATAATACTTTTTTTTAAAAAAAAAAAAATTTAAGTAATTTAGAAAACAAAATTTTACAAAGCAAATGACGCCAAATATCTTAATTCTGGATGAGCTTTTCAGAGTGCTATTTTGAACTCTACTAAGTAGCAGGTAAATTGAATCCGAATAATATCCGCTTATGACTAACTTTTCTAACCGATCTTTCGAAATAAATTAAAACAAATGATAATTCTACTGGAAGGATCAATGGAGGCATTTCAAACAATTTTAAACCTCCATAGATAATTTTATTAAAATTCATAGCAGGAAGAAATTAGCATTCAAATATAATTTATAAATGGATGTGTCATTCAAACACAAAGACATCGTATATGAAAAAAGCATCGAAATGAAATTATTCAAATAAAATCTAAGTATATAATGTCTAGGTGGTATAAATTCAGTGATAAATTTCACTTGTAGCTATTGGTTTTGACAATATTTATTACGCTTTCTAATAAACTTCTCTAAATACTCAAATAAAAAAATTGTTTAAAATAGTAGGGCCTGGACATTTTATTGGAATGAAGCATTATTGGTATATTCCAATAATATTGAGTAGATTCACAATAACTTTTGCTTCACCTGCGATATATGAGAGTATCGGTTTTCATTTTCTATAAATTATATTTCTTTACGAAAATTGTCATACTCATGTATTACAAGTCTCAGTATTTCGCATCTTTCTTTTCTCATATCGATATAGCGACGATTGAAAACAGAAGCCGGTAAAAATTTCAAATTGCATCAGATTACCTAACTAGTCACAATCCATTCCAAATTAGTCTCAGTAGTAAATTATTGTCAAAGAATGACCAAAGTATTGTTTTCTAGAACTCTTTATAAAGAAATCTTACATCATCCTCGACGGATTCTAAATGGAGAACTTTAAAAGATGATTTAGTTGAGTAGAGAATGCTCATTAACACATATCAATTCTCCACAGATTGATTTGTATCTTTCTTTGCAACTGGAGATCAAATTAAACCATTAAATCTCTACTTTCAATTCACTATTAACAAACTTTATTCAAATATTATAAAATTTTCTATACTTACATTTATTTGTGAGTCACACTTATTTATCGATATGATCTAAACTACAGGTTAGGAGGAACTACTAAGTTGACATGAACATTTCTAAAGTTAATGTATTTCAATATTATTAGATGTCGTTGATTTCACTGAAGTGATATTATGCTGAACAAAATGTCTTAGTTCACATTTTACTCTGTATCACAAAATCAAATGTTAACTGCAGGGACATTCGATCTTTCATCCTCATTTTCATTTTACTTTAATTTAACCTTTTTCTTCTTGTCAGCATTGAAGCATCGTATCAGATAAGATAGAAGTTACTTAGGAAGTTTTCATTTCTGAGTTCCACAATAAAAATTTCGTGCTGTGCATATATTTCATTTCACACGATTGTGTTATTGACTTTATACATTTTTTCTCTAGGAAGCAACCGATCCGATCAAATAATTTTTCAATCGACTTTGGATATTGAAGTAAAGATAATACCTGAATATCTTGCAGTCGATAGACAGAGCGCTACCAATAGTTCTACTGTCACTAAATCGATCAAAATCGATTACTTGTTCTTCAATCAAAGAAAGGTAACTTTTAAAACCTACAATGAGACAGATTTTTAGAGAAAATTTGTCTATTTTTTTAACCAGTGATAACCGTTTGTGATTAAAAAGTGGTCTTATTAATTGATTTTAATTTTCGCTTCCTAATCTTGAGCATCACAAATTTCAATTACCTACAACCATTAATTTTAATCCATGATTCGTTGCAGTAGAATACAGAATATTATCTTTACTTCAGGAGAAATTCAACTTATTTTTTTGTAAGAAAAAAAAGGCAAGAAAGGACATAAGTACTTAAATTTTCATCAGAAAGGTATGTATCAATCAGAGAGAACATCAAAAATTTGTGGACGAGAACCAATGCTTATAATTTGTACACTAAAGAAATCGAGAAAATTTTTTAATTTTGGATAGAATTTGTCTGTTTTACATCTCTACGCTTTGTGAGATCGCTGGTGATTCACCGGGTAGATCAAGATGTATAAAAATTCGTATCGTCGATATTTCCCGATTACTTAGGAATGTCTGGAAAGTTCTGACTTTTTTGTTTAAAATTAAATATAACTTTTTAATGAAGATTTAACATGCGAAATTTGATTGTAATTTTAACATCTGAAATCTAATACAGAATTTATGCAACTTGGTGTTTCCATTATCTTATTTTCTCCCTTACAAACCATTTCCTGCAGTAAGAAGAATAGCAAGAAATTTTTAAATGGGAGATTGTTAAGGGAAGTTTTAACATTAAATTGTTAAATTTTTAAAAGTTAAAATTTGTCAGATTTATTTCTTATTCTGAGACTGAACCATGCAGTAGTTACTAATGTACCAAATTTTATTTCACAGTTGCAATAGCAGTGTTTTCATAATCAATTTGCTTTCCAATATCTTGGAAAAAGTGATACCATACTAAACGTTAGTTTGATTTGCTATCTCCTGTTTCAAGAGTTTCACAAGATATCCAAATAAATAAATGAATCGCCTATGTGCTGTGTTTTAATTTAAATTCAAGTCTAAATTCTGAAGCACACTTCGTGCATTTCAGCTTTTCGATTTGATTGAAACTGATAATATTTAAGACTAACATGAAACAGATGAAACTTCATAATTCCACTGCAAAAAGTAGTGGATTTTTGTGTTTTAGAAAATTTCTTTCAAAGCTTTAACCATCATATTAGCGTTTCCTTAGCTTATTGGACAATTGCAGTATTTTGCTTTCTAGAATCCGGATTATTCGGATTTGGCTAATTGAAAGCAGAATAGATAGGAATGGTTTAGACTCAAAGCTGATTATTCCTTGGAAGATTGTTTGCCTTCACTTAATTGTTGATCAGAATAGTTTTCCAATGTACAATAGCTTAGCACTCGATGTTTATTTTTTCTCATTTGAGCTTCCCTAAAATAATTTCAGTGTTAGAAATCAAACTACTTTTTTAGCAGTAATTTAACAAAGTGAAATAGCTAACAATTTACGACATGCAACCTGCTATTAGCAAGCGACTGCAATTGCAAAGTGATAATAACATATTTTAGGGATGTATGGGCGAAAATGCATACAAACTCGGTGATAAAACAACTAGCCACCGTTTGAAACTAAGATTCCGAAACCTGAATCCAATATCATACTTGGAACTCATTAAATTGATTCGATTTCGGGGTAACTTTTGGTTTCCGGTCTGCAAATTCAAGAAGACTTTATCGGTGTGTCAATTATCGCTATTATATAAGTCAGTTCAGGAAACGCCATTTATATAAATCCTTAAATTTCCTGTTTCAAGCAATAATTTGTGAGAAAAGTTTATAACATTAACACGCCCCATTCATCAGCTGTAACTGATGAAAGCACGCCTCTTATAAGGAAAACAAGGGGACAACATGGAGGAGAAGGAGGAGTAAAACGGAAGAAAAAAGGAAAATCGTCCTCATAAAATCAATTCCAATTTACTAACGCACAATTCTAACCCGACTGGGGAATTTTTTTTTTTTTAAGACATATTCAATCCCAGTAACGGTTTCTGCTGTTTCAATCAATTCCTTCATTTTTCTGCTGGCTTAATTCATTGCTATTATCTTTGGTACTAATTGTAGTGGGAAGAACTTAACTTAAATAATGGGTTTCAATGTACCAATCATCAATCGTGATAGTGACTGGTGTCGTGAATGGTTGGATCAAAGGATCAAAGAGCCGCATATACAAAAAAAGCTGGTACTTGTGATTGTTTCTATTGCTCTGCTGCTCGACAATATGCTCTATATGGTGATTGTACCGATAATCCCGAAATACCTCCGGGATATCCACGCTTATGATGTGCAATTTGTTGGGTACCATAACGAAACGAAGAAGTTGAAAAATGGTACCATCGTTGTTCGCATGACCGGTGGTGAAATTGACTATTTGAATGAGGATATTGGACTTGGGTGGCTATTTGCATCGAAAGCACTTATTCAGATTTTCGTCAATCCATTTTCCGGGTATATTATCGACCGCATTGGTTATGAGTTCCCCATGGTTATCGGTTTATGCGTAATGTTCAGTTCAACAGCTATTTTTGCACTGGGACGAAGCTATGGTGTCTTATTTTTCGCCAGATCATTACAAGTAAGTTCACGGTATTTTCTCACTAAACTTTATTTCTTGGAAAATTATACAGTTTGGAGAAAAAACATGTTAACATAATGTATCAGATGTAGTTATTTAAATAATCAGTTTTAGGGATTTGGTTCCGCATTTGCTGATACTTCTGGTCTTGCGATGATTGCTGATCGTTTTACAGAAGAAAACGAACGTTCAGCGGCGCTTGGTATTGCTTTGGCATTCATATCATTCGGTAGCTTAGTGGCACCGCCTTACGGCTCTGTCCTGTATTCACTAGCAGGGAAACCGATACCATTCCTGATTTTATCCTTGATATGTCTTTTTGATGGGTTCATGGTTTTCATGGTCATTCAGCCGAAAACCAATAACAAACAAGTGAATACAGCCGGTGAACGAATACAGGGGACACCAATGTGGCGTCTATTTATGGACAAATACATTGCTATCTGTTCAGGTGCCCTTATCATGGCAAATATTAGCTTAGCATTCTTAGAACCCACGATCACAACATGGATGACCGGCGCTATCCCGGATACTCCGGCATGGATGGTTGGTATCATATGGTTCCCACCATTCTTCCCACATGTTCTGGGTGTTTACATCACCGTCTGTCTCATGCACCGCTATCCGCAAAAAGAGTGGCTTTTGGCTGCGATCGGCTTAGCCATGGAAGGCTTGAGTTGTTTCGTGATACCATTCACCAACTCCGTTCTTCAACTGATCCTACCCTTATCAACACTATGTTTCGGAATTGCGCTAATTGACACATCATTACTACCAATGCTCGGATACTTAGTTGACACACGTCATGTCAGTGTTTATGGTAGTGTCTACGCGATTGCTGATATTTCCTACAGTTTGGCATATGCATTTGGGCCGATTATTGCTGGCGAGATTGTCGCAACGATGGGTTTCTTAGCCCTAAATATTATTATTTGTGTTCTGAATTTAGCTTATGCACCGGTATTATCAGTTTTGAGACAGGTCTATATATACCAGCCATTTGAAGAGAAGCAACAGCAACAAAAACAACAAGCACAATTCAATACCAATGGTAGTAGTAATGACGGTATTATCGGACAAAATCTCGATATATCACAACAACGGGGTTATGGTGCCATCCAACATCAACGTGATGAACCGGAGAACCAGTGGAACCTACCAAAATATTCTGCTGCTTATAAATCGGACGATCCGTTAAACGTACAGTGGTAACGATAAATTTCCTTCACTGGATGATAGGATATCAAATTAGTATTTTACTAATTACTGCTATTATTATTATCACTATTGTTACTGTTATTTATTGCTACCGATAACTAATAAATTGTGGCTCATTTTGTCTGAACCATTCCCCTGTTATTCGCCCTCCCAGTGATGGTGTAGTAACCTTTTTTAAAAAAATAATCATCAAGCTGTGATCTCATTTCTCTATTGCTAATGCTTATAGTTGTACATTGATGTGTGGTAGTTTTAGTTGTATCTACAAGAATAGTTTTGTTTGTGCAACTGAATGAAATATAAATTTGCTCATAATAGGAGGAAAGATATTACAGCAGTTAAGAATATCCAGCAAAAAGGAAATTGATGAGGTGAGACGGAAATAAGGAAGGAACTGTGAAGAAATAACCGATGAAGCTAAGAGTAGGCGTTTGCTGTGGAATGTTACAAAATGCAGTTCCCATCAATTCTCCATCCATTCATCCACATCAAGTGTTTATAGTAAATTTTCAATGAAAGCTTTTATTGGAATATCATACAGTTCGTTTCAATATATACAGCATATTTGATCGAAATAGAGTTCAGCGCTTTCAACAGCATAATTCATTCAAGATTTCTCGCTTTTGTCTCAGCATAAATAATTTAAGAATAATTTCAAAAAATGGACACTTATTGACTTCATGATTTAGCTTTCTACCTCAGACCTAATTTTTCTAGAATCTAATTCTATTCTAGTACTGATAATGGACAGTATGAGAATGAACTTAGAGCATTGCTATGAAATGGGATCGTAAGGTTAAGTTCCAATGTAATTGTCTGAGTTACATTTCTAATAGAAACATAAAATGCTGATTTCATTAACTTTTAAGGACAGATAGAAGTAATGAGAAAAATTATTTAGCTATAATTTCATTTACCTCATTTTTGATTTTCTAGGAGATTCAGATGCACTAAATTTGCACATCAATATTTCTTGTCAGAATTCCTTTGACCCTATCACAGTTTCGTTATGTACTTAAACTTTCTCTACATCTTCTGCTGCTTATTAGTATTTGTATGACAATAAAAAGTTTTATGCAAGTTGCAAAAACCTGGAAATAAGTATACTGATTGCTACAAATTAATGCACCTTTTTGGATATGTTCCAGTTAAATTTCAAAATTTAAGTTCGGCTTCACAAGTTTAGCTCAAATTTTGAATCATTTGCAATATTTCAAAAGTCAGCAATTATGAACAAAATACTGATGCAAGCAAAATCAGCAAAAAGAATTACAAACGACTATCATATAACGAAAAGAAAATATTTGGTAATGATAAAAGATAGCAAACTTTTACATCTGAATTTATCAGGAAAAAAAGAGGAAGATTCATTCGTCGGGTTAAGCCAGGAATTTGACTTGTAGTTCAAGAAATACTGGTAGCAAATTTTGCACCGTATTAATTAGCGAATGACTGCTTCTTGAATAACAAAAATATCATACCAATCAGCTATAGTGGCCCAGTGGGTCAAAAACAACAACTTTGCAATATTTCCAACCAGTCTTTTTGGAAGTTAGTTCAATATTGTGGCTCTCGACTTTGTCCGTTAAATTTAGCCTTAATTTTTAGATTATCACTTTAAGTTTTAGTACTATAATATAAAAATTATTTTCCGGAAACATTTCTACAGTTAGATTGAAATACATGCAACTGTTTTTGATTGTTGTTGCAGTTCAGAGTGAACAGTAAAAATGGACTTATGAATTAATGAATTATAATAAATTATGGACTTCGAACTTTAAATTTTAAAATTAGACTGATAGATTGGAATTTTTATTTCCCAAACTATTTTTGAAATTCAACGGAAATTGAGGGGTCAGCGGAGAGATTGAATAAAAAAATACATATTTGATTTCGAAGATTTGGACAAAGATCTAAAAAATTTCATTTTATTTTGTTAAATGGTTATAGTAGCCATTTGATAAGAGATTGGAAAATTCACACATTTATATTGCCAAGTTGCAGCACTGGTCAGTAATGGGTGATAAAAGATGTACTATTGATAAACAAAACTCAACAAATGCTTGGTATGAGGTAAGCTCAGTTCCTTTCCATTTTTCCGTCCTTAATTCTTTGGAAACTTAGAAATTTGGAAGGAAAAAATTTTTCCCCTATTTTTATAATTCAAATAATACAAGCAAAAATAATCACAGTAGAATTTTCCAGGACTGATAAGTGAAATGCAAGAATATTCGAATTAGTACACTGTTAAAAATCGATTCCTTAGCTCTATCATAACAAAGGCGACATTTATAATATCAAATTCAAAACTAAGTCTCGTGTTTCATAATTGAAAACAAGAAATAAAAAGTCGTAAAACCAGATTTAAAGTGTAAACACAAAAGGCAACCTGTAAAAATTGTTCGACTCCACCATTTGCACCATCGTTTACTTCGTACTGTTGCGCACATCTGTTCTTAACTTTATTTAATTAAAGTTGCTTAATTTTAATTGATTAATTTTTATTTGGTTGGCAAAATAGACTTTTTGAGAAAATAAGTTTTAGATGATTTAAGATTCGCTAGATACTGAAGAATGATATGATACATTATGATAAATTATCATAAGAGATCTGCTCATTATAGCAATGAATTAGGAGATTAGTTATACAAAAATTAATATTTTGCGGGTTAAAAATCTGGATTTTTGCCTTTTGATTTCTGCGCCATATAAGATTTTCATTATCAATTTAGTTATAAAATGAGAATCTCAAGAAATGACCTGCACTTTTGCACGTTTTATATTTATAAATGTAATAAACTGAGCGATAATATGTGCAATGCTTATCAACAACAGCCAATAATGCGAAAATAAAAGATTGACACGGTATTAGGGATGACAATATGAGTTTGTTATCTGATGTCGAAGAATTTTCATTAAAATTTGCTTGGTGTGTGGAAAATAGCTTTGATGACAAATTACTCTAGGGAACGATAGAAAGGCGATTCGTAACACTGATTTTTCTATTTAAAAATCTCTTTATAGTGCCCAGTGATTGAAATTCATTTATCTGATGCTACTTTTCCCAGTATTAAATTGTCCACTTATCGAAATTTATTCCAATATTGAATATTTTTCTTATTCCAATTTCACTTATGTGTTTAAGAATAAATTCAAATACATATCTTTAAATTTTGTGAATGGACGGCCAAAAATTTCGGAAACAGAGGTTATGCAGTTGTTTAGCATTAAAATCAGATAACATTATTCACAAGATTTTCCATTTGTAATTTTAAACTGTCGGTTGTATAAAGGAGTATTTGGAAGAAGGAGCGAAAACTGTAAGCAGAAATTTCGAAATTGCTTGTGCATGGAGAAGTGTACAGGGTAGTTAACGAAGAAAAGCTGTTGTAGAATAGTAAAAATGCTGCTGCTCATAAAAGCTTTTCAAAGTAAACAACGTCTGTTTCTGCATTCATCTAACATATCTAAAATTTTGTGTACCAATCCTACATGCAGACAAGCAACAACAACTATCCATCCGCATGTTCAGAAGGCGAGTCCGACAAATTTTAATGCTTTCTTTTTTGAAGTTTTTCAAGTGAGGAGAAAGAGACTATGAGCTTCTAATAAGTAAATAAACAATCGCTGCACTCTTATTAAATAAAGTGTCATAGGAGCTTCCTCTGTCTTCCAAAAATGTCGCAGCAAGCTAGCTCATCCAGTTTCCAGTCTTTGTGTTTCCATTACTAAAAGTGAAATGGGAATCTAATCTAAAGTCATATGACTTTGAAATCAGCTAATGAATGCATCAGCGATTACTCTCTCATGGATTAAGTAACATAGGTTAGAAGAAAACATTTAGAATTTGATGAAAAGTAATACAATTTCTGCTGGTTGTAACAATATAGGAAAAAATTAAAAATGAATTTTCAAATTAGACTAGAACTTCGTTTTTCTTTCTTTTTACCGTGGATTGATATTTTCCAGAATTCTATCCCAAAGCCACCGGTGCCTGCACTGGAACATACCCTCAAACGATACTTAGAATATGCATCAGTGGTGGCTAACAATGACAAAGCGAAGATATCACGTACTGAAAAAGCAGTTGCTGAATTTAGAAATATTGGAGAAAGATTACAAGAAAAACTCGAAAAAATAGCAAATGAAGAAGATAATTGGGTAAGTCCAAGGAAAGTTTCTGATAGAGAGAAATTTCTCTACTTTAATTTTAACAATTAAAGTGCTAATGGGAACTCTCGTGGTGAATCTGACATAATATAAAAGGTCAGTCGATTGTATTTTTGGTTGTTGCAAAAGTCCATAAAATCTAAAATGACGAAAGAGCCCATCAAATCCTCGATATTTTGAGAATGATTAAGAAGACTAAATAACTTTTTGTTTAGCCACTCTTCTTTTTTTCTTTAAAAATTAAAAAAGAAATTTAACTTCTAAAAAATTAAAAAAAAAATTTTTTTAATTAGAAACAGTTAGGTATTTTTTAGATCAATCAATTCTGGTTACCACAAATGTACTTAAAAGTGAGACTTCCATTACCAGTAAATTCTAATCCAGCTTATATTTTTCCCCAGCAGAATTTCAACAGTTTGGACGAACAGTTGAGGTAATTTTAGACGCATCTGAAATTATCCCAGTTAGAAGCTATGTAATTTTTTCAATTTCAATAAAATTTTGATTCTTTTTTTTTTTCAGTTACATATCTTCACTTATTCGTGGATTTTGTGATTATAAAGACTTGATCGACAGGTAAGAAGAATATGCGTAATTTTTCCGAAATTTTCGCAATTCTTCCCAGAGTAATTAACTCTGTTCATTAATCTTAGAATTAATTTTAGACATTGTTTACCTAAGGGAAATTATTCCCCAAGAAATTAAGCATAAACATGAATTATTGATTGGTATCGAGCTAAGTAGCTTTCGTTATTAAATATGAGGAATAGTAATTACTTTGAATGCAATATTAGACCGTTATTTTTAGACAGGCTTTAGAAGCCTAAAATATACATTGGCTACCTGACGAGATGCTTATATTCAGGTAGGTTGTTAGGAATGCAAGAATAGTTAGCATCAAAAGCATGACTGCCCAATAATCCCCCATATTTTTCTTGTTCAACTTATCAACTGATCGAATAAAAATTTAGGATGGAAAAAATCTAATAACAATAATAATAGTAATAAATAATAATAGCAACGATAACAATAACTACCATTGCGATAAGGGAGCTTGTAATACTTTATTTATGAATGGAAATTTCCAAAGTTTAAGCATTAAGGAAAGAGATGGACATTTTAACTTGAAATTAGCTTACCTGAAAGAAGAAGATAAGAGGAAGTTTGCAGGAAACTGATTTCGCGAGAGGTTTCAACAGGTCGTGATAAAGTACAAATGTGTATGGAACAATACGATCGAATGTTTCGTTGTTATCGTGAGCCATGTACTCCGGTAGACATTCTGCATTACAAGCCGACTGATCAAGGAATCAATTGCAAGGAACATATACTTGTGATGTGCAATAATCAGGCAGATTTACGCAACAATTACTTTTTTCATTGCTCAATTAATGAAAAACTTGAAAAATGAATAAAAAAGAGAAAAATAAAAACACTAGGAATTAAATAACAATATTTTCTGCCAAGTCAAAATCTGTCCAAGTTTTGTTATTCGATTTCATTTCATTCTTGATCCAAATAGATTAGATTTTGTCCCTAATTGATGCGAAGGTCATCGATAACAGACATGCTTCCCGCGATTTTGGCTATAGCCAAATTCTTCCTGTTTATGTTACGGATGAGAGCTCTTAAAGAACTGCTGTTTGAATTCAAGAATCATTGACATGCAACTATGGAAATGTATTGCTTTTCAAGTAAAAATAATACATCCATGTACAGACATTTGTTGTATTCACTCGGCTTAACGGTGTTCTACTGTCACAAGCCGAAATAACGAAGCAACTGGAAAAGGTGATTGAAATGAGCAGAAGTGACGATAAGATGAAGGATGTTATTATAGCTGGTGGTAGTGCAGGTGATCGTGATGATGCTGCTAAATTTTGGAGTTTAATGAAAGAAGGTTTGATAATAAAGATTATTCGAATGCCGAAATTCGCAAAAAGCTATAATTGTATGCAAAATTAGTGCCAATTTCCATCCACTTTGCTTTTGATTTGAAATGTCGCAAATTGAAAGATATGCGATTTTTTAGTAGGTATTTTAATGAATATTTAGATAAACAGAATCTGGAAGCATTAAATTGGATTCAATCTGCTTCATTTGGGGTTTGCATCGATACTCGTAGCGAGATAAAATGGTCTGAAAACTATGAAAATAATCTGGCATCTCGTGGAATGTATTTATTACATGGTTTTGGAAGCAAGTCAATAGGTTTGAATCGATGGTATGACATGACGATACAGGTAAGGATCGTCCCTCAGTTCAAAATGTATTTCAGCTGCCGAAATATTTTTGATTTCAGTTTTTGAAGCTGAAAAGGTAATTTTGTGCAAAATAATGATCATTAAACTGATTAATAATAATCGGTTGTGTGGTGTAACATTCTCAAAACCCAATAATCAGCACATTTTTAATTTTCTGACCTTAAAAATTTCCTCTAAATTTTATAAACTATTCAAAAAGCTTTTTGAATAGATTATTGTTGCGAGTGACGGTACAAATGGATTGTGCATTGAACATTCAGTTGCTGAAGGAATTGTACTCATAAACTTGGTGGAATATGTTATGCAATTTATAAAGCGGAACAAGGGACAGCAAATGGTGTGTTAAATTGATATTCAAATGCTAAATATCTCGCCGCATTTGAGCTTATTTCTTCGTTTTAAATTCAATTTTATTTTTTTTTCTTTTTTTGCAAAGCAATTCCATCTTTATAATCTAGCATTGCCGGATGTGTGGGATGTTCTTTGTTTTATTGTATGCTTTAATTTAAAATATTTTTGATAAAAGAAATTTTCCAGTGGGATAATGCGAAGAGCATAACACCACTGCATCTTCGCTGGACTGTATCGTCAGATGCCAGATCAATTCTACAAAAACAAATTGAAGTCTTCGATGAGTGAGTAAACTTTCTTATAATTATAAAGTTGATTTGAAACAAAAAAAGGAAGCTAAGTTGAAAAATTGGGAAATAAATCAAAGTTCAAAATTGTTGTAGTGGAAAGCGATACTTGATTTGTAATCTTATATTAATATTTCTGTCCAGATAACTATAAGCAAGCATATCGAATCTAAAAATGATCTGTGCATCTTGCGATTATAGAAAATGGTGCTTAGTATTTACATTAATCTTTGTAACTTGCGCTTGAACATCTTAAATTTATCTTTTTTTTTTGTAGCTTGGCGAATGACTTGGACTTGCAAGTGTTAATTTTTGACGGATTTGGAAAAGAATTCATAAAATCATGCAATATCAGTCCGGATGGTTTTGTTCAACTGGTAATGCAACTTGCTTATTACAAGTTTGTTTTGATGAATTAATTCATTTCAGAATGCTTGTTTCAATCACATATTTACATATTTTATTAATAAATATATGCAAGACATACTCACGTCTTTACGTTCTATGAAATGTTGCTTAAATAGAAATCTTCCCGGAAAATTCCACGAATTCGAGAATAAATTTTACGTTTTGCATGTAGATTACACGGACACTTAGTATCTACGTACGAAAGTGCGTCCATCCGACGATTTCGTTATGGTCGTGTAGATAATATTCGTGCTGCAACACCGGAAGCATTACGATGGGTAGAAGCAATGCAGATGAAAAATAAAACACGAGTATGTACTTGAATTTAAAACTGACTTTTAAGCTTATTTCGTGAAAATTTAAGACTGCAAATTACACTTAAAAAATGACTGCATTAGTATTTCCGAAAACATGAAGTTTTTCAATAATGCAAAAGATATATTTCAGGATGAGAAACAAAAACTTTTTGTGGGAGCAGTGAAGAGACAAGCAGAAATTACACTTGAGGTACGCTGCTTACTGAACTTACCAATTGTGATAGAGAATATGCACCATTCCTGATTCATCCCTAAATTCAAATAAACTTCAATTTTACAATTATAAATTCTTAAAAGTTTTGCAGAATGTAACTGGTCATGGTATCGATAATCATTTATGCGCTCTTCACTCTCTTGCCACGGAGGAAGTGAAAGAAGGTTCGATGCAGAAAATGCCAGATATCTTTCTGGACCCGACATGGATAGAAACCATGCGATTTCCACTATCAACAAGCCAGGTTTGTTTTTAAGTGTGTGTGGATGCTTTTTTTTTTTTTTTTTGTTGTTATAAACAGCATAGAATAGAAGAATTGCAGGTAACAACCACTGCCTCAATTAGCGACACATATCTTTGTTATGGACCGGTCGTTAAGGATGGCTATGGTTGTTCATACAACATTCAACCACATTCAATCATCTTTGCGCCATCCTCATTTAAAAGTTGTCTTACAACAAATTCTCAACACTTTAAGAAATCATTGGTTGATTCATTATATGATATCCAAGCACTAATTACGCAGTGAACAATTATCAGCATAATTTTAAATGAGAAATGAGTGATATGTTTGATTACTTTACGTCTTGAATTACTTTAGAGTACGTTTTGCACTTTAAATGATCAAGTAGTAGAAAAACTTAGAACCACCTAAATCTAAGGGTAATATCGTGGAGCAACAAGTAGTTTGGAAAAAATAGGAACTTTTAACTAGTTTGAAATATGTTGAAATTTTCAAGCGTCGTGCACGACATTTGCATAGTTATAAAACAAGATTATCCAATATAAAAAAAAAAAAAACGGCAATTTTTGCTACTTATCCGTTTATCTGATTTATGGAATTGAAATTTTAAAAAAGTTGGCATATTATTTAGGTATTATTTATATTATTATATTTTTTGCACGTTACTTATATTACAGTTTGTCAAACTCAGTAAGTTGCAATGTTTATTTCTTGTGTATAGCATAGTAGTTCTTCGACCTTAGAACTGAAATTACGGATTCCTTTCCTTGATTGAGTTTAATTTAAACCTTATTCATTTTAGTAGACATGTATAATAAGTCAATAATATTTTTGTTGAGCGATAATCTTATGTGGGCATAATTTGCTCATTGTGACAATGATAAATAGCTATTATCAATGCAAAATTTAATATTTGCGCAATTTTTTAGTTCCGAAATTTTATTCTAATTTATATTTATTCAGATTGTACATCATTGCTAGCTGTAGTTAATCGATAGAAGTATGCGAACGATGTATGATATTATCGATTATTTAATTAATCAATTAGTAGAGCAATTGAAATATCACCATCTATAGTTTGATAATAATGAATAAATGACTCAACAAATTTCATATCAGTTACACCATATTAAATGGTAATGCTGTAATCAGTTAAGTGAATTTCGAAGACGGCCCATGCACAAACCACCTTGTCCAGTTTACAGCAATGGCATACTTTAAAGGTAATACTTTGAACACTTTGAAACACAAGTGTTTGTTGGTTAGTCTTTGTTAAGAGAGGTGGAACAAACAGATTTAAATAATTACATAACTGTAGTCTTATGGATATTCTATGTCTTTTGATGGAATACCTTTTGCTATTTTTATTCATTCACTTGCATCTAGTATTAATCACATAGTTGACTGGAAGCTATCGTTGTAACGAGTTCAAATTTTAAATTACTTTGCGGTAATTGTCTTTCTTCGTCCAGTTCTAATAACTTCATTTGTGGCAGTTGAATTTTCGAAACATTGTCATCTTTCCTATTTTCTGGAATAAAATTCTATCTCATCATTTAAACGAAAATTTGATTTTTGTAACTTCTGCAATCAATTAAATAAAATTTGATGCATTAAATATGATATTTCAGTTTACATACAGTGGTTCTACGAGTTCACGCATGAAGCTGGAACGAGCTAAATACCTAAATCAGCTCTGAAAAATATTTTTTCTCATTCATATATCTGATATCCATGACCTGACGATATTTTTTATATATTATATAAAGATCCTGAATATAGAAATGTTCTACCTTTTACTTGTTTGATCACTGGAGTAAGCGACAAGAGAAAATTTTTTTGTTTAACAGGTAGCAGTTTCAACCATACTGGTAAAGGTGAAGGAGTCGTGATCGCACATAGCGAATCTGATGCAACTGGAAATGGCAATGAAGCGTTTGGTGCTGGCGCTGATATATTAACCGCAGTCGTATTACGAACAGTAGGCGGAGGTGACAGCAAATCGAAATTTAGCTTTCCTATTTCTAAATGGCATTCCGGTTCATGATTTGAATCGAGTGAGTAACGATCATCATTGACCAACTTGCACTGTTCAATGAGTGATGTTTCGAGATTCTGGCTTGCTGGACTGCTAAAGTCAGAGGATGACATCTTATTATCTCCGTTGTTGTTTGTGGCATTTTCAATAAATGTTTTTGGCCTGTTGTTGAGTAAAGTCTTCACATATGATGAGGCACTCTTCAGCTCCTGCTCGACTTCATCGATCATAACGTTCACTTTCTGCATTGCACTATCAAGTTTCCTCCAAGAATCCATTCTTTCAGTGTCTGATATATTCCTGGTTCTTAAATAGCGTGTAACCGTTGGAAAAGAACGTGACGTGATTGCAATAGGACACTGAGCACAAGGTCGAGTATCAAACAATGAATGATGGCACATCCTTGATGCGAATTCGATTCTCGGTGTAGACGCAGCAATACCTGGAGTAGTAGCAACATGAACAAATTCGGAAGGACACAGCTTCAGATTCATTGCTAAAAGCCCTTCGTCAGCGACATATGTTGGATACGACCAACAACGTGCTATGTATTCCGCCCTTATTAATATCCCATGAGACACCTGAAATTAAGTTGATAACTTTTAGCATCTGAAATTTATCTAAGGAAACGGTATAAATGTCATATTTGCTGTCATTGCTGAAAAAAAGTTTGATGAGTATGAAGAAGTAAAAAGCTCAAAATAAGTAAAAAAGAGAATAAATTATGATGATCCAGTTTTTGAGCTACAAAATGTTTGCCTTGCAACAAACTAACATTTATAAAATTGGAAATTAAAAATGAGGTCTAAAAGTTAACTATAATAACCTTTGTTCTAACTACATTCATTTGTTGATCTTGCTGTATTTTAGTTCTTCGTACATCTTTTCGAAGTATCTGCAATAATTAATGATAACAGTAAATTAAAATGAATTTAAGAAAAGGTTAGTGTGATATTTGGTTTGAAATCAAATTTTAAATTTGTGCATAAAAATTAATTTTATTATATAAAAATACAGTAGCAGAATTCGCAGCCAACAATCAATTGACAGAATCAACGAACCACTTCTTTGAGCAGATGGTTTCGCCAGCAAGTAATATTTTCGGGGCAAAATTCTCTCATGTGCACGAATGGTGAACGAAATGTCGATAAATAATCAAAGAAATGGTTTAATTGCGCAAAATCACTCTGATCAGCTTCCTTCATCCATCTGAAATTTGAAAAGAATTACTTGTAATATCACTAAAAGATATGATGATGCAAAAGCAAATTAGTATTCCTTTGAAACTTATTTTGACTAAGGTTCAACAGCACGAAATTCCGAGACTTGAACTAGTTATGTTCAATTAACAATTGATAGTGAAGAGACAACATAAGACAATGTAATGATGGTATGATGAGTGATGGTGATATTTCCTCCCAATTATTTCTTATGGTCTTTTCTATTAATTTGATCCATTAATTTTCTTTCTTTTGCTTTCCTGTTTGAAAAATACTAGAAAACTCTTGCAGATTTCAACACTAAAATACTTAATGGATTATACAAATGATATGCAATTAATCATTATGGTAAGTGATGAACACAACAAGGCAAAAAATATATGTAATGTCAAAGATCGTTTAATAAAAAATGAAGATTTTAACGATAAGATTTATATTTGTGAGATTGATATGCATTTATTCTGTCGATCATACTTGACTAACAAAGCATTAACATCGTTGTCTCCTGCTTCATCCAGTAAGTTATAATATTTAGTAGTTGCGTTTTTCATTTGGTTCTGAAAAAAATTATAAAAAAATGGATTACAAAACAATTTCATAACCAACAAACGTCATAAGTTGTACTGAATTTGTTCCATGAAAAATGTTTAATCAACGAAATATTCCTTAAAATTTCTAGAAATTTAAAAGCTTCTTACGCGAGAAACGCAGTCACATCGGTGTTCTATCGAAGCGGCGTCACGTGTTATAAGGCGCAATATAATGAGAATAAATTTCAAGAAACCACGAATCCAAAAAGAAATTGATTTTGATAGAGGTTTTTCATAATGATTCTGTCTCGGGAATTTTCTGTCAAAATACTATACCACGAATATTTTCACATATAGTTTCGCTTCAAATGCTTTAAATTTTTAAATAATAGCCCTTCTTACTTAAACGACGAATACAGTAAAGGTAAAGAAGGCATTTATTATCATCCAGACACCATATATCCCTGGAGACGGTTTCAAAGTTAAAGGACTATGAAAATTCTTGAAGGATTAATTAGTGTTAGCTGTTATTTAGTTTTTATTTATTACTTAAGCATACAAATTACGTCAGAATAAAATTTTTAAGCCATCAATTTTTCGGCAATAATAATGTGAATTTCTTACTTCACATTTGCCGTTTATTTCCAAGAAATTCCAGCAAAAGTATTCTTTACAAATCAGTAGCACGTTAGCGTCAGATAACAAACGTGCGTAAGCTTGAATAAGAATCCACAAACGAATGTAGCAATATTGCTCTTTGCCGAAACCAATAAAAGTTGTACACATATAAACAGGTGGTCGAGGTAGCTGTAAAATCAATACATATAATTGGATCTATTAATTAATTTGTGCCTCGAATTAATCCTGAACTTTACTTCGAGTATGTTAGGAATTTTTTGTTAAATGTCCTACCGATATATTAGTATTCACAAATAATGGCATCATCTCATATATACTGCACATTTTGACCAATATCCGATCAAGTAGAAAATTTACTGCATTTGTCTCTGCGATTGCATCCATTTGAAGCAATGAATCGATTAATTTATCCCATGAAAACTGCATATTTCGCATGCTTCCATATTCTGTTGTCTCTTTCAAGCTATCCAGTTCATTAAAAGCCATTTCAATGCGTCCTTCACAAAAAATTTGCAGAAACTTAAGCCTGAAACTTTGCAGAAACTTCAATAGCATAGCATTTACTAAAAAAATGATTAAAAGCAAGTAGATTTTTTTTTTTTTTTTTGAAGTAGCTGTTTTTCAGGGTAGAAAAGCTATCTAACTTTCAATAATTTCAGCTCTAACTGTTTAGGCACTCATTATCATTTCTTCGTTGATTTAGTAAGATTATACGGCTCTCATTCTGCCAACATTACATCATACTGTTTGTTGAATTATTAATTATGCATAAATAGCTATTGCGCGACTGATGGCATTAAGTAAATGAACGAAGAGATTGATCCGTGCCTGTATCTATTTTCACAATATAGCTGTAAGTTTCTTCAGTGAAAGTGATTTTCAGATGTGATTATCGGGAATATTGGTATAAGTTTAAGTGGTATTCATAGAAAGTTTCATTGCATTCAAATGGTAATGAATTTATATATTTAAACAAGTGAGCACTAAGATACTATGGTGTGAAATGTACTGCAATGATAAACCCTGATAACTGTTCCTCCAAAAAGCGTAGCATTGCTTGTGATTTAAGGTCACGAAATTGATCGCAATAATAAATAGCTTCAATGTGATGACCACAAGCCCACAAAAGCACTGGTGGTGTTCGTTCGTCGCATATAGTTGATACTGTTTTTGCAATGTCAACTCGTTTCAGCAGAACAGCTTTATTCAAGTTTACCTCTGCAAATACTTTACTGTAACACTTTAAAATAACCATTAAAACCTCTTTAAAATGGAACTAATTTATAAAAAAGCAGTGAAAACACATTTGGATGCTCCACTTGGATTGCATAAAAAAATTTGCACTTGGATTACATAAAAAAAAAAAAAAATTTTATAGAAAGTCTTCATTTTATGTAAAGTAATTATTGAAAAAGCTGAGGTTCGATACCTGATGATGATTTTGGCCATTCATAAAGTGAAGGAAGTGAACCTGGGTTTCTTGGTGCAAGTAACGGAAAGCCAAGGTAATATGCTGCAGTTAGCCGAGCGAAATCAATTGATCTCTCCGAAAATGGATCGTTTCGGAAAACTTCCCACAAATTTTCGAGATGAATGGAAATAGAAGTACAATTATCTTTAGGTACCGACATCAGGCCATAACGCTGATCCTGAAAAAAAAAATGTTTTTTGAATTTTTACCAGTTTTTGGCTTAAGCCAGCGTATAATAAATGATCTAAAATTTGGCAGCACAAAATCTTCACTATTTTTGTTCTGCTATAGGAAAGTGAACGCTTTAAATCATTAAGAGATTGGAGAATAGAGAAATTTGCATAAATTAAATGGAAATTTTCAAAAATAATAAGTAAAGAAGTAGGTATGTGTACAAAAGAGGGAAATGCATTTGGACTGCAAAATTTAATTGCATGCATGCGTATTGCGCAGCGGACAAGCATATTTAGCTCATGCTATTTGCTTCCTCCCCTAACAACGGACCTTTCGCTTTCCCGATTCTATAAATTATTTTCGTTATTGCTTTTCCAACCAGTCAAATGTAATAACTAAAATTGTAAATAATTAATGCTGAACTGTTAATTGCAAACAAAAAGAGATCCAAATAAGTTGGAAGATTATACTGAAATTAATGAAATTTAAATTCAAATCAGTTTTATATTTCCTGAACAGAAATCGAACTGTTATGATAGTAATAATGTAGTTTTGTTTGGGTCAAAAAAATTTTAAGCTAATATATATTAAAAATTACATGACTCATGCCACAAAGTGCATCATAACTCAAAATTCTAGAAAATTTATAGTTACATGCTTCTTAAATTCATTTTTCATGAAAATTTAAATTTCTTTTTATTTTACAAGATATTAATTTAATCCTCCAAAAGTTCATTATTTATAATGAATTTGCGATGGAGTACGTGTTCAAAATTGCTTTACATATATAGTGTTAAAATTGTTATATTATTATGTTTCTAACAATCATCTGATCGTTTCTTTTTATTCGTTTCCAAAAGTTTATGATAAAGTCAAACATGTTGGAATTAAATGGTAACAAGTTTTTATGTTAAGTGAAATTATATAGCCAGGAATTCGATTTATTTTAGAAGCTACTTATTTGTTGAAGTTTTAAAAAAGTTATAGGAAGATTGTTGGTATGGTCATTGTCAATTCAAATACAGCTATATTTTTGAACCAAAGGTATAAGCCATTATTATTATGGATACAGAATAGATCAGTTACTTGGATGACCTTTCAAGATGATATTATTTAGCTAATATAAGTGTGTAATTGGTCACAGTTGGAGAGAAAATGGAAGGATAGAGAAAGGAGGATCAAGTATAAATATGATGAAACGGATCAGTTTACAATGAAAGCAACAACCGGCAGCATGACCTCCTCTTATCTCAGTCAAGAAAGAAGTTGGTGATCATTGTTGAATGGTACTTAGTCCTTATCTACGGATAAAACATATACCGAAAACAAGGTTCAGCTGAGAGGAGGTACAAGACAGATGAGACTAGCAAAACTAGAATGAATACTCGTAGTCGTTTTCGATGAATTCTACTGAGCACATTGAAAGGGACTAGCTTTCAATACAAATACTCTCCAATGCTATCTTGAAGTACTTTTGAAGTACCGTCAAGTTATCATTAATCTTGGTATCTGCACCAGTGCTCTTCCATCAGATACAATCCAATTCGGAATGGTATCTTCAATAACAAGATGGCGATTACTACCAGATACCGTAACTTGTAAATAATTCAATTTTACATTTGTTTAATTTGTTCGCAATTTTTTATGCTGTACTGTAAGCTTCGCACATCTCATTTTGGTTTCAAACTGATGGCTGCATGAATTAAAAAAAAAAGCGTCCTCAACTGAAACAGCTCAACAGAAACATCTGAATTACCATTGATTTAGATAATAAATGTGGGATTTCATTCTTTCTTTGCAATACCTTTCCAGGAAAGATTTTTGGATTTATTTCAAATGCAACGAATACTTTCAAATTTTGTTCAATGGTTTCTGACCAGAAAAAATCTTAAGCTGCTGATTACTTTTAGTTCTTATAAATCTTATGTTCAATAAAGAAATTTAGCATATTTCTGCCTTTGTCTTCAAACTACATAATAAATTTGCCATGTCTGTAAAGTTCTGCAAAACAAATACTTTGAATTGAATGCAGAATGTTTAAGGCCTCGATTTTTGCAAAAAAATAATTGAATACTTTTATGAGTCGTGCATGCATAAAAAATATTAAAATTATAATAAGAATCGATATACCATATCGTGGGATTTCTTGGAATAAATGAAAAGGAAGAATTAAATAGTGAATGCAATGCAAAGTTATTAAATTAGAAATTGATAAAAGAGTGAGATTAGCAGAATGATACTGTAGTGTGTTGATAACAATTATCAATCGATAACAATATGACAATGCAGTGATAGTGATAATTTTAGTAAAACTTTGAAGTAAAAAGAAGAATCTGAGCTTAAGTAAAGAAGCAACAGGCATTATACAAGTGTGCTTGTGTATACCAGTCTGTCCGTTTAAATGTTTGCTCTGCTTCTGTACGTCATATATATTTGTGAGCGTATGTCTGTGTGTACGGTATTATCGATGGTGCAATCAAACTTTCATCAACTCCGCCTTGGTGTATTGATATTTGGAGCTTAATTTGATCCCGCCCTTATAGTAATAATTTCTCGATATAACGATGATATTTGGATTCTTAGATCTCTAAAATAGACTGACTATTCAGACTGATTACTTACTATTACTAACTAATTAATATATAATATTTCTGCAAGCAAAAAAAAAAATTTATTGCAAATATTGAATAAAATTTAACAATTTCCAATCTCTAGACAAACCGCCCGATGGCTTTCTTTATTCATAATTTATTGCGACCATCTGAAATTATCGAGCAGTCATCATCAGTCAGGTTTGTTTTTACGTTCTTTTATTTATTTATTTATTTATTTATTTTTTTTTTTTTTTGAATTCTTTTGAGCGAAATAAAGGGCTTCGTATGAATAAATTAGAAATTCCTAAAAAACTTAAAGTCTTGATTAGGCTCCATCTTATGAATAGCTATAACATTCATTTGTTACATGATTCATTTAAGAAACAAAAATTACCGCACTGCTATTCTTTAATACAATCATTAGAACTATAACTGAACTTTTTAATTCTACTAAATTGAAGGTTGAGACTTGCAAAAGGAAAAAATAAAGTAAAGTAAGAAACAAATACTCTCAAAAGCACTATTGATTAGTTAAAGTATAAGCTGTTTTATACTATAATTTCCCGATTTTCTTAAATAATAACATGCATTTACAAAGGAATCGGTGAATAACACCATTTCATATTTTATCAAGCTAGTGAAAATTTCTTCATCTTATTGACACCAAGAACATAAATTATGATTGTAATTTCCGTTTTTAATATCACATATTACCTAAAATTCTTGATGACCGAATTGTTTCTATACTACGTATTTTTGATTTGGAGTAAGCTCGAAAAAAGTTATTTCCAATTAAATCATAAATTCTCAGCAATTTAAACTCAAGCTGTAAAAACGTGAAAATTTGATAAATTGATTTTTTTTCTTATTTGAAAATGGACGGCTAATCTTTTGAGCATTTCTTCATCTATAACTTTCTTATCTGAGCTTTTCAGTCTTAGAAAGTTAAATTGCTTCTTATAAAACACTGTTTCTAGGAACATCCTGAGTGAAACAGCATTTTGTGATGAGACACTTGTGTCGTGCAAAAGCATACAGGTTGCAACATGTCCAACTAATTTCATGAGCTCCTTCAGTTTTCCGGAGTGGTGGTACCAAGCAGTTAACTATGTCAACATGACTTCTCAACATCTTGGATATCAGATAAGTCATACGAACAGCGAACATAATTCGGTTATCATTGGTGCGTCTTAAAAAAATTTCTCTCTATTCTCATCAAATTTTTTAAAGCAGTAAAACTTGAATTATAGATTTGAAAGTGAACAGAGAATTTTTAAAAGGACTTTTTCCCTGGAAATTTTTCGAAAGTTATCATAACAAAAAAACTGATTGACTATTACTGGTAATTTATCATATCATTATGGTATACTGTCTTTGCAAACATAATAAGTGCTTTAAAGGCTTCTTTATACATTTTGCATGTTTTTGCATTCACTATTCTGGACTCTGGCAAAGATTCCCCTCCTAAATCAGTATCGATATATTACTACATCAGTTATTTCAAGTTAACGTAAGACTATTAATGACTGCATTTTACTTCGGTAACCTTATTTAAAAATCAGTTCGAAAATCTGATCATACATATAGTTAGTCATCATACATACAGTTAGTCCAACATGTGTAAATGGCAAGTTATTTCAAGTTAAAGTAAGGCTGCGCTATTATTTGGATGTAGAAATAAAGATGATTTGTTGTCTTTGATCGGAGCGTTTAATCGAGTGGATTAATTTTTGCGGTAAATTCTCGTGAGAAAATTCGGAAGAACGATAGTCATTTATTCGATTACACTAGTTTCATTCCGTAGAACTACTGATACTTCGAAATTCTACTCTCTCCACTTTCCTTTCTCCAAATCTTATTTTCGCCCCTTATTCTTATTAGTAGTGGCTTTGCAATGTTTGTTTAATATAGATGCGGGAAGCTTTTAATACAGATGACATTCTGACTTGTTCTATCCTGATTCTAATTTGCTCTGTCCTTATCCTTTTTCCACACTTAAAGAATTAGACCGGAAAAATTACACAGAATGAAAAGAAACTGAGGATAGAGGGAGCGAAGAATTTGAAGAGGACAACAATACTTCATTAGTAAACAGATTTAATTAGTTAGCTAGTAAAAGGTTATTTATAAACGATATTATATGATTCGTACAAACACTTCGTAACACCGTATTCAAATATTTATGCAAACTAATATAATGAAATCTTCTGCAACTCGAAGAACAACAGGATGAGAGCATAATAGACATTGACAGAGGTCAAGAAAATCAGCATTTCATTTGTTTGTTTCCAAACTTCTTGTTGAAGTAATTATCAACTGATTCTTAGAATTCACTATTTTCAGATTGGGATCCACAACTGCCATGGTTGCAGCCTTCCATGCAGAAATCACAACATAAGCGGAAAGGTGGTCAAATCCGGTTTACGAATGAACAAACAGATGCACTTGAACAAAAATTTGGCAATCATAAGTACTTGTCATCACAAGAGCGAAAGAAATTAGCAAGAAGTTTGCAGCTTTCTGAAAGACAGGTCCTTTTTTCATAAGATTTTTTAAGATCTTTCAATATTCCCAAAGCCTAGCAATAAATCTGTAATCACAGTGAATAGAAAGGACAGTATGTATATCGATACCATTAGATGTCAACGAGAACAAAAGATCAATATAGGATTAAGCGGTAGAAAATAATGATCTCCTATTATTTTTTCCACATTGTCAGTTTAATTTTTGACTTACATTAAATTTTTTGCGTATTTTTTTTTTTCTTACACATAAAAACGTTTTGATTTATAAAAATAAAAAAGCAGAATTTAAGCTTTGACTCACAGCTGTTGAAGTGATTTCAGGTTAAAACATGGTTTCAGAATCGACGGGCTAAATGGCGCAGAATCCGTAAGGACGAAGAAGAAATTCGTCTTGATAACATAATTCACCCAATACCACAGCTTATCCATTATGGTCATCAACAGCACTACTCGTTCTTCAAAACTCACATGTGATGTTCAAGATTCCTTTAGGTTACTGTATCCCTAGCTTTCATTCATAAAATGAGACTTTCACCACATTACTGCAAAAGTCAAATACTGTAATTTCATTTTAGCAGGTGCTACACTACCGACCAATACCTCACAGTAATTTTCAGCAATCAGATTAATGCTAGCCTTAATGTTGGTTTAGCAAATACAAATATTACTACCGTGAAGCTTGCAAATATTTTTGTAATTGCTAAGAATTTTTGTGAACACTAGTTAAGTACATTTACCCTTGTTTTTTTAGCTTTAAGTCTTGGATTGACTGTATTATTCTCACATGTCACGAAAAACGTCGGTGTTCGCACTGTTACATCTGTTTTTATGATGTTGAGCGCCCATTTCATTTCACTGTAGTGATCAGTACATCACATATGCTTTGTAGGTAATGGTAATTTTCATATATTCGTATTTATCCCGAGTTACAACTATATAAATGTTTGAAGCAAAAATAAGTTGGTTAATTACTTCTTAGGAAAGGGAAATCACTTTCAAAAAGTCAACTAGAATCAGTTCAGGGAAAGCCTAAAGTGAGTCCGGTTGGCTACTATAATTTGGAAGTAACTTTTATAGGGAGTTTCGAATAAAAAGTGATAATATGTTAGCTTGACTTTGACCTTATTGTTTAAAGCACGTTCAAGTGATTCAAGTGATCAAAACAAAACTGAAAAGACTAATTGTTGTTAATGCAAGCACAGGTTATTCCCGTAGATTCAGGTGTTTATTTCTACCTGCTCAACTGCTTTTAATGAAAGTTATCTCCAATAAAATTAAAAAACAGTGTTTTTTTTTTTTTTTTAATTTTAGAGTTAAGTTTTCGTTTTTTTTTTGTATGGACTTTCAGATATTATTTTTTAAACGGATCATATTGCATCCAAACATTTATATAGGTTTTTTGGCTTAACATTTAACTCAGTCTTCAAGGGGTTTTCTTTGAAGTCTTTTTTAATTTTTCACCTTCTCACAGTTCTCAATAATTCGATATGATTATTCGGATAAATATCTAAAAATAAAAATGCTTAAACTACCAAACTTCGAAAAAAAATTTTGAAACAGCTAAAATTCAGCTTTACAGTATATTTTTTGCTCTCATGAAAAATAAATCATAGAAACTAATCATACGCAAATAAAAGTTCAGACAAATGTTAACAAATCATTAGTATCACCTATGGATTGTGTAAATATTTTCGGCTAGAAGAATCCTATTGGAGTCATTCATAATCCACATTGATTACTTCGGTTTATTTTAATTATTTGTTTTATTAACGACTATTTTTGCATTTTTTTCATTCGTTTAATTCTAATTGAAAATTTGTCCATTTAGTTGATTATACTGAAACATCACAACATACTTAAAATATGCTCACTTGACTTTATTTTCATAACAATATCCATTTTCTTCTTGCTTAATGACTATTTGAAATTGTTCGATTGTTGAAATTATGATAAAGAAAAATATGTCAACTGCAAATTGAAATAGTGCCTGACGACAACAACATTAATTGAAATATAAAAAAATATTGAACTGCCTGATATATGTATGTGAGTGTATATGTGCACATAGTGCAAGTGTAGGTTATGCAGAATGCGTCAAAGGAATGACTGTCTTCGGAAGGAGTGACAGAGCTGAGCGGCTGCACTATGGGTGTTATCCTAATGTCTAAGTCTTATCCGTCAAGTCAACTTACGAGATTTTCCTCTGTTCAAAATACCTATTTTGCATATCGTTTTAGTGTGAGAATGAAGGATTGAAAAGACTCGGAAAGAACGGTTACAAAGCAATATGCTGACGCCTATTATCACGAAGGATATGAATCCATTTGCATCCCAGCCTCGAAAAGCTTGCGATGTCCGGACACATTCTCAGAATCCGGGTATTTCGAAGATAACCACATCTACAAATCGGAATCAGGATATCATTATAGAGAAATCATCCTAGCCACTAGTCAAGCTTAGATCTACTTCTGTTCACGGTGGTTTTCTGAGTAAGACTCGTGTTTTGCCTTCTATTGTGAAAGATGTTGAGATGTGGCTGAATTTAGATATATCTCATAAACATGAGGGAAGTGACAATGCTTGTTTTAAATTCGTTGGCTAATACTTCTGATTTTACATTAGTAATAGTTAAAACAAGGACGATTGTTGCTACTACTATTACGTCGTGTTCATCATTTTTGGATTCATCGTTATCGTATATAACCGGTGGAGCAATGGAGCAAGGTCAACGGTGAAAAGATTCAGTGAATAAAGAACAAAAACAGCAAGATTTGAAATCGAAATGTATCGGAGTTCCTTAATAATCTCCTAGTAAAATCAAGAGATGAAAATTCTGTATTGAATGAAGGAATGATCTGATTTTAATAATTTAGAAAATTGGCATTTATATTGCATCAACTCGTAAATATTGTATTTGAGTAGTTTACAATTTATTCATTGTCTTCCTAATTTTATACTTCTAGGCATTAATGATTAATCGCTCTGAACTTCATTCATCCATTTTGTCAAATTTGGTTTTACGACACATTCTTTGAAATCCCAGTTAGAACTTGGATATATTCGTTTTTAAAAAATTTACTATATGATAAATTTGCTTTATTCTCGTAAGATAAGCAAGCGAAAAGGTTAGCACTTCTTACTGAGATAATTAGCTAAACATTGTTCCTTCTTAACTTTAAAATCATTTTTTCACTTTTTCTTTATTTACTACTTGTTTCACACTTGAAAAGCTACAAACTTCAGACCCTTCTCCGATACTCCTGCTTGTTTTGTTGCACTTTTATTCATGAGTAAATCAATTATTTCTCTCTTTTTCTGGATCGAAAATGGTTAATTTGCTCTAGAATAAAAGCATTTGTTCTGAAGTGTTTGTATGATTTGCCAAATTTGCCTAAACCGCTGATCATTTTATAGAAATTTCTTCTAGATAATTGTGTGATTTAAGGACTACAAAGAATATTTCGAAAATGCTTGTACTGCTAAAGTTGCTTTACTTAATATTTTCGCAGTTTTGATGATTGATTCACTGTATCTGTTCCATCGACCGTTTCTTTTTTTCGAAACTTGGGGAAACTTCATTTCACCTCCATTATGTGTTGATCATTCTTTGCTGACACCTGTATCACGAAAACTTTGTAAAGGCTGCACAAACTGCTAGTTTGTTTTGAATTACTGAAATAGAAAACTAAGTGCATAGTCTATGGCTGTGTCAAAGGGTTAAAACTTCAAATTTCAAATGCTCGCTTATCATACAATTTAGCAACTCGAAAGATATTTGTGATTAAAATATTTGCTTATTGCTTCGAGTAAACATATTTTTTTAGCAATGAAACTATTGCTGTGCGATATATCGGAATTGTAACTGATTACACAGCATTATTTGTCAACGAGTAGGAAAAGACAACACATGTGTAATTTTTCCTTGATAAGTTTTTGCTGGTTGAAGAAAAATATACATTTAAAAAGTAAGAAGTACTAATTTATGCAATACGAAATTTTCCAATTAGATCACAGTCTTGGAAAGTGGAAGGGTAATTTTTTAATTCTTCATCTAACATTAACTTGAAGTATTTTGTTAATGAAAAATAGTTGAACTATATTTTGGCAGGAATGAGTTTGATGTCGTGCATGGCAGTTATATTTCAAACTTGCAAGTAAGGTTACGTGAGAAAAATATTGACATTTTAAAATAATTTGATAAGTATTTGGAATAAATAAGAAGTGTGGTTTAGCTTAGTGAATTTATGTGGCATGAAAATAACATTATCACTTGACTTACGGCCTAATGTATTTGACTTCACCATAGCATCGTTCAAGTCGGTCGGTAGTAATATCCAAAAGGTGAATTCATCTTAGCGATAACTTTCAGTTAGAACTGAGTTTGTCTTTGTTATTTTGTTATTGATTTTTAAATACAGTTGCAAGAAGAAAGGAATCAGCTGAACTAGCCCGAACAAATTTATACAAAATATCGTTCAAGTCGGCAGTAGGAATATCCGAAAGATTTTTTTTCTTCGTCGATATTGATAATTGATGTTCGTACTTCTGTGTAATATTTGGCATATTTCGTTTCTGTTGTTGAACTGCAAAAACAGGTTTAACTGTGTAAACAACCTTCAATAAGCAGCTCACAAGACCTGCTTTTTCTTTTCAAAAACAAAGGATTCTTTCTCCCATTTTTGCTATTTTGTTCATTTGTTTTTAAATATTTTACTATTTTTATTGTTGCTCTATCTATCTACCTATCGTTTAATAACAATTTTACTGTTTTTTTTTTTTTTTTTTTTTCATCATAAATTAATTTCCTCTATCAGTTGGTGAATGAAATATTATTTCAAACTAAAGGTAAAACCATACTGAAAATGCTGATTTTCACTTTAAATTCATTTGACTGTCAGAAATTTATATTAGTGCGTTTTGTTGTAAGATTCTTTTCACAGATTTAATCATTCCTCAAGTCATTCGTCTCATGTTCCTCCCTCTTTTACTTCTCTCTCTATAGCACCATTAAAGATAGGTCCAGTATTAAACTGGACCTATCTTTAACAATATTTCAAGAAACAGATTTACATCATGGTCCGAGTTCAAGATTCAAGTACCGAAACCATAAATTTTGAGTCTAGAGTATTCAGTGACCTATGATTCCACAGTTCCATCCATTTTTTATTCCTTTTCTTTCCAGCTTCTCTTCTAAGATTCTTTTCACAAATACCGCTGCTTACCGATTTTCTTTTTTTTTTTTTTTTTTGGCTTTTATTTTGTAAAAAATAAATTATTGTTTGAAAGTGACTGGAGTGATGTTTAGGCTGTTGAAATCGAAATTAATTATACAACATGAATTAAATTGAATTACATAATATATTCAAGCGCAATGAAATTTTAAGCATAACAAATTTTGTTGAATAGAAATTTTCAAGCAATCATTTTACCAAAATTTATTTTTTCAGGACTAAAATTTCTGAAATGTTTCTCATAGTCTGTTTATTTACTATTCGATAAAAGCTGGCTTCAGTACCAGGAAGTGAAATCCAGAAAATGGTCTGATCGCTTAATAATAATGAATTTAAAACTGTCTGAAGTGATAATAAAATTCAGCGTGGATGAAGAATTTAAAAAGAACGAAATTAATTGGTTGAAACATAAATAAACACTTATTACTGATTTTTGAAATCTTCTGAAGCTTACAGAAAAATAATTTTAAAAAGCCACACACATAAGCACTGACAACGTGAATAAGGCAACAAATATTCGAAGGAATATCCAGGTTTGAAAATTTCTAAAAGTACAACAGCTGCTTTCGTCTGTATAAATTATGATTATTCATAAAGGAATTACAACCATAAATAATCGAAAATTATTTTTTTAATTCTTTAAACAAATTATATGGAAATTCATTGACAGGATAACAGTATCTGCAGTCGCTTTAAGTAATGAAGCAAATAAATATTAAGCAACCATACTTCATACAATTCCATTATTTGATTGAGTAAGTAACAACGATTATAATGCGTTTGCTGTTCGAAATTAGCTATCAAAATCCGATAAGTCTTCGTAGTCTGGGTCGCGGTATTCCGTGAAACGATTTGGTATTGGCTTATTCCTGAAAACAGGAAAAAATTTTCCTGCTAGAAAAAAACAAAAAAAAAAACTAAGTATTTCAATGGAAAAAACCATTATTGATATATCATAAAAATTAATGTGCAAAGAACTTCAAATATGATTTATGTGTCTTGAATTTTCTTCCGGATAGATAAAGGAAAGTTCTGATTCTTATTACCTTCCCTACAATCCATCGCTTTCACATAATACGTGGACGATGTTTGTCGTCAAGAGGAAGAAAGAAGAAAAAGAAAAAAATGAATAATTGTAGCTAATATATTCTTCAAGAAGAATGATACCACGTAGCTAACGATTCGCTCCAAACTTAGAGCAGAATAAGGCATAGAAAGTTGAATCAGAAAAGTTATGCGAAGAATTTTTAAAAAAATCTATGGAAACATGAGGACTGAACATGAATTATGGAGTGATTTCAATGTATTCAGGTGCTACAGTCAGCAGATTACAAAAAAGATTCCTTTTGCAAATTTCATTAATTTTAACAAAATATGGTTGGTTAAAGTTAACCTTGCAAGACTATCAAATGAAATGGGATTGCTTTCACGGACTTCTCGACCAATTGACTGAAACCGATGTTCCCAGAATGACGGAGTTCGTAATGCAGCACTCAGGTAGGATGTACTAGCAGTACGCCAATCTGTATCATCCTTAAGCAACATTTCCATGTATTTCACTGAATCTATTGGTTCCCTCTTTGTTATTTTGGCCTTGATTTTGGTCTGGATTCCAGCATTTTTTTAGAGAATTCACAAAGAGAGTTATCAGATTTAATAATTGCAATTGAATTCCTAAAAAGCTGGTAGAATATACACCAGACTTAGGATTGTTTCTTCAATAAAACTTTTATTGTCAAAATTAAATGTAAATATTGGGAAGATTAAGAATTTCGAGAGAAGTACCTTCATAAACATATAAGTTGATACTGGCACATCACCTTTCGAACTTGATTCTCGTAACAGTTTCTCCTCCCATATTTGTGGCCTAACGATGAAAAATATGACATGCAAAATTTCGTACTATCATAACAAATACTGTTGAATAAGAGAAGAAAAAAGAAATTACCCTCGTGGAACATATTTACCCTCTGGACGCTTGTACAGATCAACAGAATATTGCAAATCAAAATCAAAATAATCTGGATCATTACGATTTGGACGACTGTAATACGGACGTGGCATGAATGTCTGGAAGTTCAGCAAAATCGAAAAATATTGAAGTTTTATGTATCACTATACAGCAGTGGTGATATTTTGCAGTGGAATGTTAGAGAGAGTTTCTGTGAATTATATCATGGTGACGACCGTGCGCTGTTTTGTTATTTTTATGGGATATGCTTTTGTGATGCTATCTGCCTTATGACCATTATCTTTTATTTTGCTTCATAATTTTAAATTACTTAGTATTTTCAGGTCTTAGAAATTTTTACCCAGTAAATGCTTTTGTCAGGTTTTAAAATCAGAATGCCGAACAAAGTCAGTTGGAAATTGAAGCCTTTCAAGGAATCATACGGCAATAAATAAGGTCATTCAGCATAACTTTTCGCTACATATCTTTTAGCTGATACTGCTGATGTTATAAGGTAACTAGTACTATTTTTTGAAACTGAATTGCCTCTATATACATTTTTGTGTTGATTACAAAAACCAAGTCTGGAATAAGAAAATTTCTTTATCGACAAGTTAAAACTGTTAATATACCTTCTGTTACTGTCTTCTCTATTTGGGCAAGGAATAGTTTTTAGGATCAAAAATGATTCACTAAGGATATCGAGTAAAGTAGAATCATGTTAATGAAATCACAAATTTCTTAAAGAAATACATATACCAACATTATTTGAAATATAAGATATCTTAAGCAGAAGCAAAGAATCAGTTAAGATTCAATTAGCAATCAAAAATCTGCTTAATGTACCAACCGGATCTAATAAACATACTTGAAAATCCGTTTCATCTGATACACTACCAGGTGTTGGAGCTGGTCCGTTTCGGAAATCACGCACCGTAATAGTTTTCATCGAATTTGGTAAAATTGTTGTTTTTAGCAGATGTGCTTCAATATCGCTTGCTTTTTTGTTGTAGTGTGCTTCAATTCCCTTAGAGGAGAGTACAGCTGGTGCCGCATATGGACCTGAAATATTGCTGATATTATTCTTTAATACTGTTTCCTTCCTACTCAGACCTTTAATACATCCATCATATTACTGTAATTCAAATGAAACTGTTGTAACTGTGATATCACCATCTTTCTCCCCCCCTCCCTTCCCACAGATCCCTCTCTATTCACTTCACAAACAAAATTATCATGTGTTCATAAGCAGAAGTGTTACTCGAATACAAAAATATTATGAGAAGCTGAACAGGAAATTTTTACACTCATTATTTCGATTTTTATCCCATCTTATTTAAAATTTTAACCGTCAGAGTGGTCATGTTGATTTTTTGAACTGTAATCAAAATTGAATTTTGACCATTAAAAAGACTGCAAGGTGTCCGCTAAAAAATACTAACCCGTTTCATGGTAAATTCCTGTAGTTTGTGGATAAAACACATGATAACTTGGCCTTTGAACAGATGGACTACGAATTGATAATTCTTCGAATGGACTATCAGACCGTTTTTCTCGACGTCGTACTAATTGGGTATCGTTAAATGCTGTTTCTTCAACGCTTTTTTCAGCAGTTCTACGTACCTTCAAGATTTGTTTTGAATCTTCTAACTAAATTTTTTTAAAATATTACCACTGATAACGCAATATCATAGAAAAGAGCAGTGTGGCAAAAAATAGAAGTTATAAATGGAAATGAGAACAATTTTAATTAAAACAGTACAAAAAAAATCAGTAACTTACCGTATAATAGGAATCTCTAATTGAATCCTGCCACAATTTCCATGCAGGTTTTCTTTCTTCAATTAGTGAATCATTAAAATTACTGAAATCTATCCGCTTGAAGGATGGCATATGCATTGGATATCGATTACTGAAAGATATTATTATTTAAAATGATCTTTTCAGATTTACGAATATTTTGTAGTGAAAATTCTCAATGGATGCTTAGATGTTCTTACATTTTAAAGTAATTCTTAAAGAGAAATCAAATTCACTTGTTTATAAGTAGATAATGCTTTTTGCATATGTGAAATTGTAACTACAAATTGTAACTCTTTCAACTGAGTGCCATCAATATCAGAATTCTGCGATCCTTCAAAAGTAAATGTGAGATATGTAAAATAGATCAGTTATACCCAGTCGTCTAATCACTTTATTTTTTACTTAGTAATAACTGCATAACAAATTCAAAATTTCATTATTAAACATCCCAAACCGTTTGTCAAATTTCTTGATTCATAATTTTGACCGATACAGAGAATGCAAGACAGTAAATACTATCATTACATTATTATTTTTATAAGGCATTTACCATACGGAGAAATTGAAGAAATACATTAAATTATGCTTGGGCCTAGTTATATCATTTTCTTCTGTTGTTTCCAATACGCACAATCTCAAAGTACTGGAAGAGTACTACTTTTTTCAGTGAGGCAAAAATCTTTGCTTTCAGTCAAAAGATGTTTCTTGCCAACAGTCGTCATAATTTAACAAAATTCGAAGGTTAAAAATACATAAACTTCATACCTAGAGGAAGTAAAGCTTAAACTGGATGAAGTTGGCTCCGAATGCGACAAGTTTTTGGCAGCAAAATCATATTTATTAATAAATGATTTTATAGTTGAATGGCTTTGAGTTGCTGGACGTCCTGAACTTCCTGCTTCCACATCTTCCTAAACCAAATTTAAATTTATGCATTACAAATATTTTAGAGTACAGAAGCTCTTCCACAGTAAATTTGTTCAGCCAGCAACAGGTATAATAATGCTTGAAAATACTCCGGAAATTCTTACCAATTGCAAAATAAAACCATAACTATTTTACTGTTATAGAAAGGAAAAACGTAAATCTTCACTGTGATATTAATATCCACAGATAAAAGAACATGAATCTACCGGGCTTCCTTTAAAATGGTGCAAGAAAAGAAAGGTTACCTCATCTGACTGTGTGCTTTCTACTAAATTTGGTATGTCGTCGTGTAAAGTGCTTTCGTCCATTTCGTCTGAAGCTATTCAGCTGTAATTTATACAGATTTAAGTCATATGATAGAGGCAAAAATTATTACTTAATGAAAGGTGTAAAGTAGATACGGAACTTTCATCTCAAATTGTCCGAACGGAATTTTCGTCTCAAATTGCCGGAAATCCTGTGGTGTTCATCCAGCGAGATCTTTCGAGACTCATGTTATTTTCAGCATACAATAAAGGCGGAAAAATGCTGAGTGATACATATAAGGGTAAGGTAATTATGGAATATTGTTGAAGACAGTGAAGTTACCTGCTGTTTTAGGAAGTGAAGTTAGAAATTGGTTAATTTCTAATAGACATAGACAATCTGTTTCCTAGATAAATAATAGATTATTACTGATGAATAGAAGAAATGTTCTTCAATGACTGTTTGATTTATTGTTGATGTAACAGTAATTTCAAGATGGAATTTTTGTTCGATGCTCTAATTGAAGAGTGTGAAAGTGGAGAATAGAGGATAATAATGATCTTTGCAAGCAGAGTCAAAATGATTCTACCGACTGTGCATTATTGATGTCAGTGAATAGCAATCTAACTTTTATATTATAATTTCTTGGTTCTAAATAATGGCTCAACATTGTGTTTACACTGATCGAACAATAACAGAAATATGATGCGTAGAGTTTGAACTATCTGGAATAATCTCTCCATTGATTATATTGTCAGTGGTTGAGTACCACCTTTTGAACCTTTGTCACTCCTACAGCGAACAAATTGTCCAATCAAATTTTGTGGCAGAAAATTTAAGTTATAAATCATTGTTTAAAATATTAAATTTGCTCAAAATATCTATGGAAAAAATTTTGTCGACAACAAAATCTGGCTAGACAAAGAATTTATAAGTATCAACAATTAAGCATAAAAGCAAATGATTTAGACATCCGATTTTCCTTTTTTTGAAAACTTAAAATTTGATAAGGATGTTGGATTAATAAAATTTCTTAGTATATTCCATTTTTATTCAGCTTGGCGAAAAGGATGACTGTCATGCTGAAGTTTGTCACCTGGTTGAGACTGATGGGATGCATTATAGAAATAGCAGTGGGAGTTTATCGTCGAGTGGCACCGGTTCTGTTTAATTGTATTAGAAAATGACTTAAAAGAGATGTAACAGCAAAATAACATTAAACTAATCGCTAAGTGGGCTTTAGTAGCCATAAAAGTTGATAGGTGCATTTAAATGATGAAAGTTGAGTAGACATGCGTTATTTGGCACGAATTTGTAGAAGTGAAGGAAGGGACTTCAAAGCAGTTGAAAGACAGTGTCTAAGACGAATGGTGTAGAATTACCACTTTTCAGAGAAACGGAAGAAAAATCATAATGTGAAGACCGCTGAAAAATGATTTCAGGATGATAAAAGAAAAACGATAAAATGGGAGGTGTCATAATAACGACTGTTTTACTTGTATCGAGTAAAATAAAGGATCGGCTATTATAATATACATATATATATAAACACATACACACATACATACATACACATATATACACACATATACATACATACACACATAAAGACTATGAAACAGGAATTGTGAGGATTGAATTTGGCTAGAATATGTTCCTCCTGATGCTCGACATTTTCTCTCATCTTTTCTCTCCACTTACTTTCTCGATCTCGTTTTCATTCTATTCATTTCACAGCGATCATCTCGGACGGAAAAATCACTGATCACTCGATCACTGCTATAGCATTCCCTCTTGCTTCAGTCCTCAACATTTCCAGCAATGCATATACATTCACAGCAGTTTATATATCTTCGTGCTTTCAACTATAATTAAAGTGTAAAAATTTTATTATGTATGTATGTGTATGTATGTATATTAATTTATGTACATTTTAGAGTGTACTGAAACATATATAAAATAAATACACGATTATTAACTATCCGTGTTTTTGCTAAATTTAAACTGCATTGGGTCGCGATACATCCTGAAAATGATTAAAACCTGTTTCAAGTACCAAATAATCTAGTATGTATACTGCAAACTGTGCTATATAAAGAAATAAGAGAAATGTTTTTTGCTCCAAAAGGTGCTGAAGCATAATGCCAGAATTTTTGAACCTCGATTGTTTATAATTTGAATGGCTTTTATTGAAAATGAAGGCATTTTAAACGTAGGCGTCAAATGCATTTCCTGAGCATTCCGCATTTCCAGAGAGACCTAGTTACACTTTTTTAAGCATTTAATTCAGCATTTTTTTGTTTATTTTTTTAATTATTCAAATTTGATTCAGTGTTGTAATTTGAAGACTTGGTCAACCAACTGGAAGCGGATTCCCCTGAAAATAGCTGTCAAAGAGAAAAGTTCTAGAGCAATAAAATGAATTCTTCCTAAAAAACTCTTCATAATAATACAAGATTCATATAAAATATAAACATAGATGTTTGAGTGCGATGTTCTTTGTCGTTATGACATTATGAAGTAAACTTTAAAAACGATGAGAAATATAAGTGGTACAAATTACTACTAAGTTTCTGACTTTTGAAAAATAGAAATTAGAAATAAAGGTAAACTACAAAACTGTTTTAAGTGATCGCCGCCAAGTCTTTGCTTCTAAAATTTCCAGGACAAACATCCTAACCCACACAGTTTGTACCTTCGTCTTAAGACTAATTTCCCGGAAGTTCAGTAACAAGTCTGACAATTGATAAATCGATCTGCTTTAGTCCTTATATGAACCGAAACGTCAAACCGAATTAACGGTACTGCATAATGCATGAGCATATACATCTGTATACGTCCCGCTGCTTAATAGTTAGCGTTCCAAAAATGTCCCCATATCAATCCTCGTATTTATTTTTTGTCACGGTCCACTGTTATATCAGTGTATACACGCTGATAAATGAGTTATGACCTTATCCTTGAGTACAATATCATACCTCATAACTACGAAAGTGTTCTAAGTGATCGGCATCAAGCTTTTGTTTCCAAACCACGACAAACACTCTGAACATAGTTTGTACTTCCATCTTTTGATGAAAATTATTGTTTCTTATACATATATGAATTCACAAAAAAGTGTTTTGACAATTCAGTAAGTCCTGACAAAAATCATTTAAGAATACTCCAAATCTTATAAAGTTCGTTTACAAGTACGCAACTTGGAAGAATAGGAAAAAAATTAATCCTGAATGAAATGAAATTTGCGACACTATTGAAAACATCTCGGAAAATAACAAATGACAGAATGTACAGATGACCTATTGTAGCATTTTTCTGCTATATGTCATGCTCAAAACATTTTCAGTGGTTTTGTAAAGTTCTCTTCAATAAGCACTTTTTCACTGATGTTTTTGGCATGAAAAAAAAGTTTTATGGGCGACTAAACATTTATTGTGCGTTTAACGCTGAGATCAAATATACTGTGATCTATATTAACAAGGGATTAAAAGCAGCTTCTTGACAAAACTAAGCAAGGCTTGACGAAATCTTTGAATGAAAAACGTGCGATTGATCACATGGCTATCATTGACTACGATATATTTTTTACAAGTTACGAAATGAAACATTATTAACCAGCGTATGTTACATTAAATTCAGAAAGAGCCAAATGGGCCATAAATCATTTCACAATAATGACAAAACTATCGTTGTTAGCATTATTGACTGTAGATAAGAGTAGTATGATGACAGAATCAGTTAGGCGAAACACCATCACGCTGAATTTCACGGAATTTCGTTTCTAAAACATGAAATCTCAAAATAGATCTAAGGTCAATTAACGTGGATGAAAGATCGAATACAAAAAGTCTACGCAAAAAGTGCCAGGTCACTTACCCAGAGTGGTAACATAACGTTCCAAAACATTAGCAGCCTCTTCCAATTTTCTTGTATTTTCATCAATTTCATCGATCTGTTGCAAATATGGACGTAACGACTCATCTGCAAAAAAATTTAATGTCTCTGTAAAGTCCTAGAAATAAAAAAAAAGAAATTTCTTCGATAACCTCAAACAACTACTGAGATACAACAAAGGATTACATCTAGAATTCAGTTGCACGAGCTTCTCTGCTACACCATTTGCCACCTGCTTCATGTCATCGTAACGCTGACTTGTAGCATTATTCATGTTCTTCAAAAGCTTATATTCCGCAATGGTATCTAAAACCCATAAAAAGTGTTAGTATAAGCTTATTTAAATTTATAGCTTCTGGACAATATATTCATCTCCGTAACTGATACCTTCGATTTGTCCTTGAAGATATGCTGCAACTTTATTATACATATTGTCCGCTAATTGTTGAATATGTGTTGTTACAGTCATCGAATCAGGAGTTGGGGAGATGTCTGCACTGGTTGAAACTCGTTCATTAATCATTTTTGCCATATCTTCTACAATTCAGTAATCAGAAATCTCAAACTTGCTTATTCAAATTCATCCAACGAGTAGTACGGTTAGTCACTGGGAGGAAATCTATAATAACTTAAAGCATCTTTCCACAACCGAAACAGATTCCATCTCGAGAACCAATCCCAATGACAGTAAACGAAACCACTGTTGAAAGGAGCCTTTCCAGGTTCCTTTAAAACAACACTGACCGAATTTCTCGAATCATTTTGAAGCAAAAATAACAACTAGTAAATCATGATTCCGAAAGTTAAAGCTAAGTTTCTTTTTCTTTGCATTCCGAGCTAATGTATATCATTGTATTCATCTAAGAATAATATAAAATGTTATAAATGAGGGGAAAACGATTCAACCACAAGACAGTACTGATTAAATTCCGTCATTTTTATGCGACTATTACTGTCAAAGGTAACACTAAAATGATCACCACAAGAAGTTTATAAATCAAACTTAAAAATACAAAAGAACATGGATTGAAATAACCAGGGAGATGGAAAGGATAAAAAATAAAAATAATGGTTAAAATATTACATTCATAATGCAAATAAATCCGCTGCCCGAACAGTAGCTGATATAATGCCTTCATCATCAGGCAGCATTGACTATTCAATTATTTATGGTACAAATCAAATTACAATATAATAAATGTAATAAAAATTAGTACGGAACCAGTGACTAAAGTGAACAAAGTGATACTGCATGATTACGCAGATTTTATACAACAGAAGCACAGAACAAACAGGAAAAGAAAACATGTCATTGAAACCTAACAGAACATCACAGATTAACAATTTCTAGAAAAGTATGAACTTTATGTTACAATAACCTAGATTAATCACATTGAATAACAACTCCAGCTTCAAAACAAACAACGCATAGAATGCCGAAAAAAAAAAGAAAATCAAACACAGAGAAAAAATGAAACCAATTTTTGGCAAGTATGCCCGTATCATTTCATACTTTTATGGAAATCTGTAGGTATTTCCAAGAAATCAGTGATATGTTTCATGAATAGCGCTGTAAAACAAAAACAGTGTAAAATGACATTTCCATATTTGTTCTGACAAAGCTTATTTATTTATTTTTTATTTAGAAATCATGTAACGGAAGATTAGGAAGCCGTAATTTGATTGGATTTCTTCTTAGTGTATCCTGACGACTATTTATCACGGCGGTAACTTGACATCCTGAAAATGAATTCCAAATGCATTTTCTTCCTTTCAGTCGTACATTATTATCGAAGATTTCTACTATAAGAGCTAATACCCTTGAAATAAATTTGACAATTTTAAAATTTTCGAAGCTTCCCACTCCTTCTCATAAACGTGCAGAATAAGATTAATTACCTGAAACTGCCTCTGAATAACTGCGGTTCTTATGTTCCACGAAACTTTCCTTTCCACCAGGTTGAAATTGATTGGTAGTCAAAATCCATCGCAAGTTTTTCTTCGGAATTTCTTCATGTTCAGGTTTTTTCGAAAACTGAACACTTCCATTAAGTACTTTCACCTTAGCATACTTTTCTTCAGTAAGAGCCTTCACTTCATCAGCCTTTGGGAGTGCAGCACTAGCAATGGGAGGAAGTATTGCAGGATTTTTTGGAACGATATCTGACTTGGCCTTATTACACTCCATTTTATGAACCGAATTCTCAAAATTTACTTTTCTTTTTTTTGCAACGTTGTCCAATAACTGGGTCTTGATTTGATACGACCGTTTGATAACGACACCACTGATTCCACTAGATCTTTTCAATAGATCATCCTTTCTATAGGAATTAGGATAAGGCACATACGTCTTCCTTGAATAAAGTAATGATGGTCCAACCCTGGTCTGCAGAGAACTTCGACGACTTCGTGAAGACATAAAAAGTGAAATACGCTCCACACGATCCCGTCGTCCTGATAAATCATGGTGTTTCACTAGCTCTTGACGACAGTATCGCGAATATTCATTGTCCACCACATGATGACTTGCTTCACGATGTGCATGCACTACTGATCGGCGTTCTCTACTTGATGCGAATGGAGAAAATTTTCTTAATGGTCGTTTCGAGTCTGAAATACCACTCATGTTGCGTAAAGACAGTCTCGCCATCATGAGACATGCAATAAAAAAAAAAAAATAACAACTTTTAAAACTGAAACTTTTAGGATTAAAGAATTAACGCACCGCAAAACAAACCTATTACGACAATGAACATTCAATTACAAAATAACCGAATGAAGTTCGTATGAACAGATATACTTACTGAACATTTAGAATTTTATTGTGAATGATAATAAACCGGCTTATGCGACACTCCTAACTCATCTCATGAATATATCCACCCAGCCCCATGAATGGTTCAGATCTAAAAAACGACTTAAATTTCAAAATCGTTTCCTTCTTTCTTGCCATCTAAAAAAGATTTCTGTCGTCTTTTAGGTTTTTTTCTCTGAAACTATCGGCCAAGACTTGACGAACATTCAGTAACAGGAGAGTTTGTTGGCACCTTGACAATGCCATTTTCGTTGGTTTGCAGTATTTTCAAGAGATCGGTAAACTGTATTGTCCTCATTCATACTTCGAAATCACCAGTGTTTTTCGAATTTAATCGAGTACCGCTTTGATATAAAAAATTAGAGCGATTTGGAACACTCCGTCATCCACATTTGAGACAGTATGGAAATGAAATTTCAACTGCATCGTGATATTCATGGCATTTCTTTTCACAAAGATTGAAAGGGAATGGACTACAAACATTCCCATTTCCAATTTTTCTATTTCATAAATTCTTCATTCATTACTCATCCATTCTTTCTTGAACTCATCCCAGAATGGAAATCAAGACACTCTTTGGTGTTATGTTTTGACAGACTCGAATCTTTTATAGACCAATCTATTTCTCGAAAAATAAAAACTTTCCGTTAATATGATTCCATATACCGCTGATTTTTGCACTCACAACGCGTCTTCTGCGTAACAACAATAATAACATCTTCCATCCATCAAGAAGATCTTCTAAACCAACAAAAGTTCATCCTTTGCTATTTGTACTCTGTGCATTCTTCCTTAGTTTCACAATCCAGTATTGTGTTAAGAAGAAAAGCTTCCATATGTTCCTTGAATTAATAATCCTTTAACCTTTATCAATCTTTGTCTTTTTCCATATCCATCTGTTGATGCATATTCCTTGATTTTTTCATCCAGTATTGCTTAAAAGATTATCAGCAAAAACTAGAATAGTAATTTTCATATGCTTAAAACTATACGAATCAATTTTTCCTCATTTTCAGTTTCGTCTGCCTGAGCTTTTAAAAACAATCCCACAATTTTACTTGGGAGTCGATTGTGGAATAGCATTTTTCGTACTTTCAAAACAACCGAAGAAAACTGAGTAGAATCATGTCGCTGAAATAAACTACGGAGCACATATAATAGTGCAACATTTTTCCAATGTGCTGGCGAAAATAATACAGATGACGAATAATTGTAGAATAGATTTCCAAAGATGCAGCGACCATATACCATCAAGCTTATCTGGAGTCTTGCTGTGATGAGATGATCCATTGCTGTTACAATATGGTTGCGTATCCCATCTGTTGGTCCTCTTTTCCATTTCCACTGCATTCCATTCCTTCCACTGATCCTGTTGTGAGTCATCTTTTGCCTCAGTTACGTCTGCGTCCAAGCTTGCTGCTAATCGTACGGCTTCCTCATCAACATCGCCGGAAAGATAAGGCCAATCTTCATCATCACCATATATTTGTAGAGCCATTGATGATGTTAAGCTTACATGATTAACATCGACCCTATAAATTAACCTTTTATTTTCTTTCCTATAATGATTACATAATAAACATCAGCATGTGACACTGAAAATTAACTAGTTCGAGAAAATTCCAGAAAAAAGTAAGCAATGCGGTAGCATTGTAGCATAATACCAATATCTAATCCAGTTAATTTAAATTCAATTAGACATTCGTCACCTATTCTCTCCCTTTCCTGGTGACTGGTTTCCTGACTCTGAGAAATCAGTGTCATCTCCTTCGCCTGAAAATCAAATTTTGTTTTTAGCAGTATTGGAAAAGACTAAAGAAATATACAAAAGTCGGTTCAGACTACAACACAAGAAACATAAACAGATACTAGAAATATTCTTACAGCTATCAACTTCTAAAAAATTTCTGTCGATAGTAAGTTCATCCGTATTTCCCATTCTCCTAGATTTTGCATCTCCATAAAAATCGTTCCGTGTCACATCAGACGTTTTCTCATGAAAACAATATCTAGGAGACATTTGTCTGACACCAGAAAAGCGACATCGTGGAATATTATCATGCTTCTTGCGGTGATTTGCACATGATTCTGATTGCATCCCAGAGTGATGAGTTTTTTGGTTGATCTCTAGTAAATTTTCGCTCTAAAATACAAATAGTCAAAGGATTATTTTTCATCACTGAAGAAAAAATAGGAAGATAAAGCTAATGGTTAAAAGCTTCAGTATAACATCAGTCAATTAATACAATACAGATTATAAGCTAACATATTGCAACTCGAATAAAAAAAGGACCACACCGTGCTAGATTCCAGCGATTCTCCTTCTTCATCAAGACAAATTAAATCATCAAAGAGCTCTTCCTGTAAATACGCATGCGGTACACATAACAAACAAAATCTAGAAGGGATGAATAACAAATATTAATTGGTGATAGATGCTGCAAAAGTGTACTACTATCTTGCAAATCATTAATTTAGGAAATAAATAAAAAGTACCATTCTAAAGTTGAAGGAACTTCGTCCCAGTTATTAGACGACTTCCGGACACAGCTTACAGGACCGTATCACTGTAACAAATCATAATCCAAGCAAAAACAATCCAAACACGAGCCTTCACGGCAAGCATGAAGAAATTTGGCAGCATTACCATTCAAATATCTTTTTAAGGTAGCATCAATCATTCATAAACTATCACTTGTCTACATAACTACAGTACATATAAACACATATTTCAAAATCAGGATCGGATAAATGCAAAAACCCTTACTCCTTCCACAAATTAAACACTAAGACGGAGTTTTGCGAAATGATAAAGATTTGATAAAGATTGATAAAGATTATCATGCGAAATGATAAGAAGGATAGATATGACCGCGAATAGAAGTTTAGAAATTGTTTCACGGAACGGCATGCAGTCATCCATAACATACAAACTTGTATAAATATAAGTATAAAATGAAAGCATTATTAATCAAATAAGCATTAGTTGAAGGATAATATAAAACTTGAACACATAAGAAAGTACATTGATTGGATTGCTGCCTGGAAAAATTTGTCTATTTCCTATTCTTCTGAAACAACAAAATCATCATATATGAAACTTCAGCAGAAGATGAGTCCAAAATTTCTCAGAAGAGTTCCAAGATAATTTATCTAAGTGTTGGCAAAGTTAGATGTACTAAGTTTACAATGACTTCGATTTTGTAAGTTTCATTCTGCTCCTTCCAACTATCCAATCCTTACAGTTTGCTTATAAATAATTACAGAAAAGAAAAACTGCATTCCCTGCAAACCAACCCATCCGAAACTTTGTCCATAAATGGAGGGCAAAAACTGCGTACCATAGACAACGGAGACACATGTAAACAGCGGAAAACACCAATGCCAAAACTGTTTCTATTTAAATCTACCATGCTTAAATGCCCATACATGTGTTTTACACCTATCTTGTGCAAACCGTATCTCATACGGCAGCCTACGGACTTACGGACTGAGGAAATTTTTTTGTTTTCCGACAACACCCACACATGGCAAAAGCAAAGTTCAATCAACAATTCCTTGTTTTTTCACACGCTCCGCGATATCTAAGACCAAACCAAAGTATTGTGGACTGCATACTGCTAAAACAAAAATTCATCCTGTGGAGTGCATAAGGATCAGAGCAATTAAGGAAAAAATAGCAAAGTCCAGGTAAACATCTGATGGAAATTCCTGTTGGGTATCGTCAATAACTTACGTCAGGGTTGAAAAAAATTTATTTAACAAATAAAACATAGAATGTTACCACAATGGTATTGCCGATATAGGACAGAAATCATCCTGCTAAAAATATATTCGCTACATAACCATTTATAGATAGAAGCATGACGAAGAACCACAAGAACAACAAGAATGTTTAAAGACCTAATTAGTACTTTTTTATGAATCATTGTTGAAAAAATGCTAGAACATTTCAATACGACTATGACAAAAACCGGTAAATTTTGTTGGGTGGGTAGTGCACAACAAAAAAGATTGTCAGACAACAAACCGCCGATTTGAAAAGAAATAGCATAGAGGTCGGTATCTGCATAATTATCATAAGCGCAGTTATACAATATAAGTATATTACTAAAACACTTAGAAATTTGAAGCCAAAATTTCAATCAGTTCCGTTGACCGAGTTTTCACCAACACTTACATATTAAAAGACAAAGATCGTTATCCGGTAGATGCCGAGATCATAAATCCACATTGCATTTTTCAGCAGCTTTTTTCTACATATGTAACCACACTGGACCCAGTGGTGGTGCCTTCATCTTACTGAAATCTAAACGCTTATCGAGATCCTCATCCAGTTCACCAATCACTGCTCTGAAAAAAAAAAATCACAGATAGTAATGAACACGAATTACATCAATATGATCTGATTCCAGGATCGAGTTCCACACTTCGAAATTTTGAGTTGATCCAGTTTCCATCATCATTTCCGGAATAACTACATTCCCTTATGCAAACGCTAAGACGATTTATTTGGAGTATCAACAAATCATTATGTTTCCAATCACTATATAATCAGCAGGTCAAAAAGTGACACATCCAACATGCTAACCAAGTACGCTCTTCGGATCACCTTTCGAAAAAATGAGACTCAGAGGGGTGCTCCGTTTTCACAATGTCAAAAAGCAAAAGTGGTGGTCGATGTCGTAATCGAGGGACATCAAACGAGAGAGCAAAACACAAATAAAGCTTCCCCGAAAACTGACAACTTGATCGTACATAAACTTTATTATTACGATGACATGGAAATATGACTACTACCTACACAAGTAACTTTTTCTTTCCACAAGTAGTAATTACAACTAACACATTATCGCCTCTGACAATATATAAACCAAGCGGAATTTGTTCAACGCCCGAGTCTTCACTAAAAACACGTTCATGTGAATCTTCCAGTACCAGGTTGATCGTCTGGTCGAAGCCTTTCATCAAGCCGACTATATTTCGGCCATCACCAGTAATCACCGAAATTACTTTGTTGATGAACGAATCCAATGTTTGTGTCATACTAAAATCTGACCAAAGAGGCAGAACCAAATGAACTGCGAAATGGAACAACAGCGAAGAAGTGAGGAACACTAACCTAATTACAATATAGTTTTAGCTCAGTAAACCGATAAACAATTTAACTGCAATTTCTCAAAACCTTTTAGATGGTATGACTTCCGTTCAAAAGCTAATATGCCTTCGACACAAGAGAAAATTAAATATTTCAAACAGGCATTTAAGAACTAGCATTGGAAATGATTTCCCCACATTGATAAAACGGAGATCATCCTCAAAACATCAAAGCAAATTTTCACACTTCAACACATCCCAACTTCAAGTGACGGGCGAGCCGACTTCCCCACTGATAAAAAAACTGCAATATCCACAATCCTGTAGTACACGAAAGACTGAAATAATCAATAAGAATCATAAATGCTAAGAAATATGAGTACAGGTGAGTCAGAGCTTCTCAACCAGAATTCCGACCATAAATTGCACATATGAGCGTCTCTCATCCCTTTCACTTCAAGATAGCTTTACCACAACCATTTTCTTGAAATGTTTACAGAAAATTACTGAGCAGTCCATCTGGAGCCGCAAGCCGAACCAAGAGTGATAGTCACTGCCCGAAGACATTGCTGTGAGGATTAATAACCTCTGTTAAGAGTAAACAATAAAAGGACTAAATATAACTCTACAACTTTCAATTTATCCAACATCAATTTGCTCCACAACTGACAACGTTAGTAACCATGTTTCACACTATCGACTTTAGGAACAATGAAAGTGTCTCAAAATGAAGCGTTAACGCAAGCAACCAAAATGAATTTATAGAGATAAGTGGAAATATATCCTGGTACAATATAATCTCATTTAAAAAATTACTCAAAAGAATATGCCTCAACAATCCACACACACACACATACATACATACATGCACATACACACATACACACATACACACACACACACACACAAGGATTCAGACAGACAAACATGTACCCACACACATCCACAAACACACACACAGCACACGTACATCTTACACTTTGTGACATGTTAGAACATCGCTGAAGGCGTACAATTCTGCTTCGGATAAAGTGGAACAAAACTTACGAAACAATGCAAAAAAAGCAGTATTGAAAAGTAAACAACACGGGGAGTAGGAGGAGAAAGAATACATCACGTAATGGGGATAACAACGATGAGAGCAAAGAGTACAAGGAAAAATAATGGAAAAAGTTGCTGGACTGAATTCCAAGGGGAAGATGGGAGGAAATACTAAAAGCGGCAAGGAGTAGAATAAAACAGAAGAAAATAAGGCGTAATCAAAATGTTTCACATCATAATATGAAATCAACGTATTGTTGCCTCTTTGTTAACAAATCTCTGGATCTGAGTTAAAAAATAGTGAAACAAGAACTTGATGCATAAATCATTTCAATGTGCTAATACAATATTTTAATCAAAATTATAGGACAACTCCACCATATCTTTTCAAAATCCCACTCTATTTCCTTACCGAAAAAGCGAAGAAACGCTGCATATTAAACTACAGAACGACAAAAACGCTCAGAGCGAAACAAAAAGCATCAAGCACCTTGAGCATGTGAACAATAAACTGCGCACCGGCCTTTAAGCCATTCTTAAATTTAACACTTACATATTCAGTGAAAAAACTGTAGAATAAATTTAAACAAAAAGCTGGGGCTTTAACTAAATCGAGTGTTTAACAGAAACTGGACAGTCCATTTTCCTCGGGAATACAAAAGCAAACCAAATACACCAACAGTTCTGTTTCATGACAAAAGAAAACATAAGAATGGAAAAGAAATGACAAATGGGAAAAGGGAAAAGAGGTAAGGGAGATGAAAAATGCCTGCAGTAATCCAGTAATAAAAAAAAAAAAACTGTACCGCGAGGGCATAGTCAACATTTCCCTGTGGCTACTATACTGATCTCATACTAACACCAGACCAAACACTGGTAGTTCCTAAAATCTTGGAATTTTAAATTTTGGCTTTTCGAAACCTAACGTTCGGCTACGGCACGTCATCTTTTTTGTAATTTTATATTCATGTCAAAAAAGAAGGGGCAATTAATTCAAAAAATAAAAACAACACAATGCAACTAAATATAAAATTTGATTGGACAAACATAAAATGGAAAACTAGAAAACAGGATGCACGCACTTATTTTCTCACTCAAAAATATTCTAAATAAGAAACCGAAATTCCAGGAAACTAGCTAACTGCTCAAAAAACAGAAATAAAAATAATTGACTGACAAATACAGAGATGTTGCGAATTGTTGAAGGCATCGTTGGCTGGGTATGCATTTAATCAATATAAAAAAACTCAAATTTCTGAGAGACAAGATGCAGAAATTCACAACGATACAGTACGGTTTAGTACAACACATAAGCAGCGTACATTAACGCTTTGCAGTGTTAAGATGACTTTGAGAGGTAATACGAGAGACTCGAAGGTTTCTGAAACAAAACTGAAATAGACTGTTATTTACTTCCTGTCACTTTCACATGCTGACACCTAGTTAGTGTTGAAGGAATATTAAAAATTCAAATTTCCTGAAATTCACTAAGAAAGTTTTAAATGTTTGCAATATAAAATGGACATATCATTTTTGCATTCCATGTTTAAGATATAGCTAAATGCTTACTAAGAAAGAAAAAGGAAAACCACTATCGTAAGGACCAGGGGCTTGACCTAAGAGGGTAAAAGGACTTTAAAAGATGTGTGGGTGAACACCAACACTTCACGAAGGCTTACAAGATAAGCGTACAAGCAAACATGAACTCAGCCAACACTTCACAACAGAAATGTAAGAAAAAAGGTTCATAACACCTACTGGTGAAATGGCTGAGATCATCGCTTCAATGCTGTGCATAAATGGAGAAAATATAAGATCCACAACGCCAAACAAAGTGGTTTGATGAAACAGTAAAATTACTGGTACATTTGTTATTCTGGAAATTCCAAAGAAATAGAATGTTTGGGAGAGAGAAAAAAAGAAAGAGTGACTAAATTATTGTGAAAAAATTCGATTTGATTTCAAAAATGCTGTAGATTCAAAACTGAATGAATATGTCAAAAAGACAAGTGAAGCATTATGTGGGATATCTCACTCAAAACCATACTCCAGGATGGTAGCAACAGAGAACCTTTTAAAAAAGAAACAAAACAAAACAAAACAAAACAAAAAAAAAAAAAAAAAAAGAAACTGCATATAGTGAGAGCATTACAACTGCTACAACCACAAATTAGCTTACTGAAGCAAAAACTAATAATTTTGCGACATACATTTCTTCCAATTTGTTAAAAAACCAATGAAAGATGGTACCGTTATGAGGGATATTTTAGAGATAGTTAACTTTTATAATGCGAAGAACTGTTGATTAGTGCTCAATGTCCAAGTTACAGAACTTTTTTATCAACGACAGATCAAAGATATGAATTTGGGAAATCATCGACAAAAAGAAAGAAGACCATTACAAAAATACAAAAACTCTCGCCGCTTTAGTGGAATACTCAGTATTGTTGTTGTTGTGGATAGCGCTGCTGACTTGCCCCACGTTGGGTCATTCCTTGGGAATAAGCATCATAACCGCCGGCACCTAAATTAATTGTAGACTCCATAAATATGAAATCTAGAATTCCGCAGCGTACTAATAACTTTTTCAAAAAAGAAAAAAGCAAAACTCACAATTTGCACGAAAATAGAAATTTCAGTAAAACGCCCTTCTATGTTGCCTATCCGAATTAAAATGAAAAACTCTACCATAATAGCCACCGGCCTGTCCCTGTTGATAATATCCAGCGGCAGCAGCATTACCATACCAGTCACCCCAGCCACCTGCAGTTCCAGTACCCCCGCCATATGCACCAAACGCTCCCATCTGACCCCATCCAGCTTGTCCAAACCAACCATTCATAACACCTGCTCGACCAGCTCCATATCCAGCTCGCATTGCAGCACCACCTCGACCACCCGGGAAACGCTTACCTTGAGGAACAGCTTTCTTGACATCGCACTGCAAATGAGTATAAAAGAATCAACAAACAAACAAACGAAGACAACGGGACGAAAAACAAAAGTGGAGAACTAACATAAAACATTATATGTAGAAAATTAAGTAACCTCGCGTGATCCAAACATCTGTTTTGGTGTAGCCGATGCCCGTTCAGCCGCTTCCTCTTCTTCAAACACAATAAATGCGAAATTTCGTCGAGCTTTTGTTTGCTTATCGAAAGGCCATTCAATATCTTCCACTTTTCCATACTGTTCGAAGTGAGCACGCAGTTCTTCTTCTGTAAAAAATGGCAATTAAATCCGCGGTGGCTCACACTATCCCCACATGATACATACGCTTCGGTCCCACTGACTGATGATGAATGACCCAGTTCGAGATTTGATTACTGTATTTGGAAATCATACGCATGATTATTGACGACACAGAGAAATGAGTTTAAACAATATGAAGCAGTTTGCTTTTGAACTTGGAACAGACTCAGCAGTATAACTGTATCAGAATACCAGAATAAAATAATATCATGGATGAAATATCTGATAATATATATCAACCTGGATGGTCAGCAGGCAAACCACCGACAAACACTTTCTTATTCTCTCGAGATTTTGCTGGCTTAACTTCAACGGTCTTTCCCTTGAGCGATTGTTCTCTTGCATTGAGTGCAGCTCTACAAGCCTCACCGGTTGTGAATTCTACAAATGCAAAGCCACGAGAACGACCCGTATTTCGATCATATTTCACCTGAGCCTGTGCTACCTCACCATACTGCGAGAAATATTGCGATAAGTCTTCATTTGTAACGTCGTAGGCTATTCCACCAACGAATATTTTTCTGTAAATAACAAATCAACGAAAATACTCTATCACATTATCTTGCACTTCCCTGAGGAGAAAGTGAACTAAGAGAAACGAAATAAATGCATACTTGTCTTCATTGCCTTTGCCCAGATCTTTCAAACCTCCTTCGCTAACAGTACCACCATTAACAGTTTCTGAATTCTGAGTTTGTTCTTCCTGATGGCTATCCTGAGTATCCATAAGATTCTATAAAGATAACATGAATTTGTCACATTACCTTTCTAATATATGAGATGTATGTTTCTCTATAGAGAGGATGTCATGCTTTTATCAGCTGTGTTTCACTGCCTTTCATTAATTCAATAATAACCGACAAAATAGCTTGTCAGACAAGGATATTTACACAACTTTGAAAAACGAAGAATATAATAAGTATTAAATGCAAACAACTGACCTGTTTACAGAAGTTATCCAATTACCAAAACTTGAATACAGGATAAGGAATTTAGATAAAGAAAGAAGCCTTATATAAATCAAAATTTACGAAAGCTTAGTCGTTACGGACTATCTAGAAAATACCCTGAAAAAATTGTCATTTTTAAACGAAATGCACTATAATCGACAACGAAAAAACATATGAAGGACGTAATGAACATAAAAACAATGAAAAAAGGAAAAAACTACTGGAAACATCAAGAACACATTATGTGGCTAAGGTTAAAGCCTACACAGCAGCTGCACTAAGCTATGTATCTGATCAAAGCATAAAAAGAAATCCTAATCCATTCTTAGGACTTATTACCTTCGTGCCAGGCTATATTTATTTAATCAAAACTCATACTATACCTCAACACAATTAAAAACTCAAATTTCTAATGTCGAACAGGCGGAAACAGGAACTATCAGAATCAACGCCCTCAAGTTGGTACATGCATCTGTATAACAGACACTCCAAACTACATTGTGCCATAGAGAGTACGACCCACTGCCTGCCTCCCTCTTCGATCACAAGCAACGAAGGGCTGATTTTAATTCGCAATAAGCTATCTTCAAGAAAGGGACAAAACAACAGCATCCAGAGCTTTAATCCAGAAAAATGCAACTAATAAAAAGAGAACTAGAGGGATACAAGGCCAACCAACAAAAAATGATTCAGACACAACTGCTTCAAGAAAACATTTCTGCAGATAGAAAACAAAGAACCAGCCATAAGCACACACTAATTTTCACGTAGAATAATCCAAAAGCAATGTAAAAAATTCAGCCCACCATATAATAAAAGGTATAAAGTGGAACAATACTAAGAATATAAATTCCAAATACTCATCCCAATTCATAACTAGAAAATAACTATTCACTGTTATTTCTCTTATTCTCATCATCTGACCATTTTCATGCTCTGCCTTACCCATTTTTGATTAACCAATGAGATAATCTCAAATAAGCAATCTTAGGTCATGTTAACAGTAATATATAGTGGAGTGAGTCATGGAAGTCACATTAGTGTATATTTAAATAAAAAATAAAGCCTCATGGGTGCTAAAACCAAATATGTTTGTAACCTGACAAAATGAAGACATGAAATGCCGCAAATCACGCGTGCACGCACATAATCAAATGCATGAAAAACCAAAATAGCAATCTTATTACAGTAGAGAACTGGTGCCTAATGAATTATTTCATCAGAGCGCTTACCGCACATTCCATAATGTAAATGCTCCAAAACAACACCAACAGCTACCGAAACTCTAGAATTTCTCACAGATTTATTGATATTATAGGTAGCCTCAGCGTTCACACTAAGATAACCACGATAGAACAGTGTCTGCTCATCAGGTATTGTATCATCTGCCATAGTTTACGTCCTCACACAACAACAAAAACAACACCTTTTCTTGGAACCACAAACACGGTTAAGCAACAATCCAGAACTCCGCTGCGCCTACACCCCGTATACCCTACAACACAGTAAAAACCATACGCAACGCGCTATACACGCGTAACCGTTTCTATCCCACCGTACCCCAAAGTCCTCTGTATGGAACCCGAAACATTGCTTGCAGCTTACTAACACTCAGTTCACTCCTTACCCTTCCGAGCTTGAATAACACACCCACCAGTTATTATTATCTGTTGCTATTAGTGAGCACACATAAGTATGGTTACGTCGTTAGTTCATATCAGGCAAAATCTATACCGAACGAAAACTTCGCCAACCTTCGAGTCATCTCTACGCAACTAATGCCACGTTAAAGGCAATAAGCAGAAATAGCAATCTACTACAGCGGTCTGATTCTCCGCGATGGTGTATAACGATCGTTGCATATAAAAATGTAGGCAGACCTGCACACATTTATGTATATACACGGGCAGACATAAACTTACCCATGCGTTCACACATCCACTACATTCATCTCCATGGTTTGGTCGTCCCTTCTCTATTGTTAATCAAGCTTGTTAAAGAGGAGTAAAGGACATTGGACATTCCAGTGGCGTCAATTGCGAACAAGTTATACGTGTTTGTATACTCTCACCAATTAACGCATCTAACTTGAAATTTGTGGAGCATGACAGTAGAAACCGGAATAAAACAGCTATTCCCTAACCGTAAATAATTCCAGCAAAGACGATCACGACTGACCGATTCGGGATTTGTCGGTTATCCAATGCAAGGTTTTTCTAGCTTTGATGTTCTGACACACCAGAAATAGTTAAACCTTTCCGAATAAAAATATACTATTAAATAAGTCATGATTCCGACACGTCACCGTTCTCTTATTTATATGTGGCTTGGTTGTTGATATATTCAGGCCTACTTAGTCACTGCACGACAACTTCCACACTCAAATTATTGATATGTGAACAAATAAAAAGTGGTTACATCTTGAAATCTGATACTTCCGCAGGAAAGGTGACCATTTGATCAGAGTATTTCTACTATCGGTAGAGAATGACGGTTCGTATATCCCCACTATTGGTGAAAGAATCAAGAGAAAATGTTCATTAATGGAAATACGGATTGCAATGCATTAAACAGAAACTTATGGATATAAACGAATATACTTCCATTAGCATATCTTTATTATATATATGTTGCAATTTTATTAAAACGATTCATCACAAAGCACTTCATCCGTTTCATCCCAGCTGTGGTAATGGTACGGTACGGGATTAATAAACATTCGTTCATCGTACACAACATCTTCTAGGAACAATCCTTGGGGTGGAGCCGCTACCATCCCGGAATTATGGAAATTTTCAGGATTTGGATTGTTTAGGAACCAAATCAAACGTTCCCACTGCAAACGGCCGTAAGCATGCTCGACAATGGTGCGTATCATATGTCTTATCTAAAAGCAATATCAGCACCTTAATATCATCTGAAACAAAGTATAACAAATTTTAAATCGTTCGCTTTAATAAGTTATGAGTTCTCCAATTCCTCTAGGTGAGGCACTGTTATAATGATGTCATAATAATTTTCCCAGTTTCTTCAATTAATGAAGTTTGCTGTTTTATTTACTTCATTAAGTTCTTTGCTTTAATTTAGACTCCTATTTTATAAAATAAACATATACATAACTGCTTCATGTCGCTAGTTCCCTATATCCTTCTCCGACCCTAATCCTCAACGAATAATTTCAGTCGTTATGATGCAAAAAATGTAACACAGCTTACTTGTGATCGCAAAAATGATCTTGAAATAACACTAATCTCGATTAAACTGAAACCGTTAACACCACCAAAACGACTTTCTCCTGCAAAGCTTAATTGTCTTCAGTTCAGTTATCCTGATTTAAGAAAATATTTGATTAAGCTGATGCGTTAGCGAGTGGTATGAACAGATATTTTTTTTTTTCGAAATGTTTTGAAAATCTAGCACGAATTAGCTGCGTATTGCACAAAGCATTAGAATAAGTTTCCACCACAATTTAACATTGTCAATAACTTATTGTTACTGCACAATTATTGCACGAATGATGAGTGATGCAACTCATCGCTTTACTTTTGCACCTTGTGCTGCAAAATCGTATGCAATCTTTTAGTAAATAAATGGACCAGCGAAGTCATAAAAAATATAAGTTACATTTACCTCCAGAAATACCAACGTGTAGCATATGTCTCATCGTCGGAGTGCGACTTTCAGTTCTCAAGCGATTACGTCGCGGATATTTCATGAACGACGCCATATTATGTGTACCATGAAAAAAAAAAGTACACTTTGTCTGAGTTTAAAGTAGAAAGTGGAAATAGTACTGCAACAAATATGACAGAATTTACAATTTTAATGATTTATAATGAGTTTATAATTTAAAAATGATGAAAGATGGATCAAAAATCCACTTGGAATAAGGAACATGCATCTGCGGCCTTCCGCATATCAAAACCATTCGGCAAGAACCACATATATGGCCTTTCGGCAAATTGCCACAACAACGGTTGTTCTGTATTTTTCAACCACTCTTCCTCGTTTTCCGCTATGGCTAATCGATATTTGTATTTTCTACAAGATTTTGGGAAAAAATGAGCACATGTTCATTAGTAGTAGTTTCACCATAAAGTTCAGGAATACACAAACTTCAGTCCATTTACTTAAAATACTTTTTTAAACCTGGTTTAGTTTTCATCTTTTATCCTATTGAATTTCACTAAAATAGAAAACAGATATACCTGTATGAAACATTTCTCCTTGAACAAAAACCTTTTGAGACAGGGTGAAAGTCAAGAATACGGAATGATGTACCAACAAATTCATTGGCCCTATGATTCCAGTCATGTAACAGATTACTTTTGCTCTCATCCGCATTTCTAATAGGAATTTGCATGATAAAAGCGTTTCGCATTGCATGTACTCCCGCATCAGTTCTGAATTGACCATGTCACCACAAAAAAATGAAAAAAAAAAGAAATTTCAGGACCGCCCAACGTCTCAGAGATTACCGAACCACATTTGCAACGTCTAAGATTGCTGAATTTATGTGAACTATTGACAAACGACAAACCTGCTTGATGGAGATATTTTTAATTGCATTCCAATATCTGGAAAAGTATCACGCACAAGTGCTTTCAGAAAACTAAGCACACTATGATTGATACTACCATTAGCAATGGACAAAAATCGAGCACCATCGTAGGATGCCCATAGCAAATACCGATATACTCCACCTTCGCACATCCTTCTGAATCATTTTAGTCAACACGAAGCAACGACTTCATAAACAACCTGCCCAAGTTGTCAAGTGAAAATCCAAAATACCTTAAAACTTTACTGTGCAAAGAATATAATATGTATCTCAACAATTATGGCAATTTCAGGATCATGTATACTGTAATGGTCATTAATGATTTACCTTAGTGGTGTTCACCGAGGAATGAGAGCAACACGTGTTTCAATTCTCACACAATACATGAAATAAGTGATCTTACCAAATAATCGTACTTTAAATGATATAATGATCAGTTTTTGTTAAATAACATACATCGTAATCACAAATGTGGACATTATACGAATATAATAATATAAGCGACAACACATTATCCAACACTAATATTAAATTTAGCAAATATTGGAGGTAAATTAATTCGGATAAAAATAAAACCTTAGTGACCGTAAAAAGTGAAAGGAGGAAAGCACAACCCAAACAAACAAATCAATATTAAATGAAACAAAAATGGCTGCGAACATACTAGCACAGTGATAAAAAAATGCTGTAAATAAACGGTTTTATTAAAAATAATACTTCTTTTATTAATAGAATCTCTCAGGAGAATTATAAGACTAACAACCATTAAAAGGCAAATCATAACTCTTATCAAACCTGTCTTATAAAGAAAAATGAAGGGAAAAAATTCAACAAATTTACAACAGTAAAACTCATAAATCCGTAGTGAACTTGTTATTGTGCAGGCTCCCTCACACTTCAATAAAGACGTTTATCGTAACTGAAAACAGTTGTTAATTACTTCTGCACTTCAAGATTGTTGTGATTATTTTTCTCCAAAGTATGGGTTTTTTTTTTTTTTTTTAGTATGTAAATAAAGTGTTGTTTCTAACAATACAACTTGCTGAAATTGTTGAAAAAATCTGGACAAGCTTACGAGTGCAAGGAATGCACTCCTCCCTCAACTTGAGCATTCGATGATCGACGTTCAAATCTGACTTCACCACGAGCAATACCATTCCTGGAATAACAGTACTTTACTTTTTACAATCATCCAACAATATCCCCTACCGCACAGACACAGATACAAGAGAGTTAAATATTACTACTGCGAAAAATAAGGTGAAAGAAAGAATATGAAAAACAAAATTTGACTAAAAAAAGAAAAACCTGAGTTCATCTAAATTTTTCACACCGATATCCTGAAAGCCGTGTTGAATTCCACGCACCAAATATGGAACGAATTTGTGGATGCTACCTCTATCCCTCATTGTAGCAGACACCCCCTGCGCAACCTTTATCGAATCTGACCTACTAAAAACAAGCTCATTTTTAGTAAAAATATAAAGTAAATAACATTTTTGATGTGAAACGAAAATTTAATTATATGAACGTTTATGCTTCAGACTTCTAGAATGATAAAAATCTTCTAGATTGGAAAAGCAAACTATAATATTTCAGAAAAAAAAAATACCTGCTAAAATACCTATCTTGACTACCGACATTTGCCTCCATAGCATCCAGTGAACCCATTCCACGATAATTTTTAAGACGCACACCGCTTGGACCCCAGAAATATTCTCCGGGTGCTTCTGTTGTGCCTGCTAAAAGACCACCCATCATCACTGTCGATGCACCAAGTGCCAATGCCTGAAATTTCAAATTTTTTCCTTGGAATCACAAAGTTATGCTGAAAAACTGAGACTTACAAATCCATCACAATATTACCTTCGTGATGTAACCAACATCCCTTATTCCACCATCAGCGATGACGGGAATCCCACGAGTTCTAGCGTATTTTGCAACTTGATACACCGCTGTGCCTTGTGCTCGTCCAACTGCAGTAACTGAAATAAGAGTAATACAGACGTGAAAATATCGCTATCCCTTTTATTTAAACACAATCAGCATAATATAAAAGTTAAGGCCTCCTAAGTCGATGATGACACTGTCTCCGAGGAGCACGTACAACAGCGAAGGTCATATGTTTATGAAATCAGATCAAAAATGTACATACCTTCTTGAGTAATACAAATTGAACCACTTCCCATACCAACGCGAATGGCATCTGCCCCAGCATTGATTAGGATTTCTGCTTGCCTCTGTGTTACAACTGAAAATAAAGAAATGTTTTGGAAAAATACACTAATCAAATGTATTATTTCCAGTATCAGACGCTCATCTTACATTGTCGTTAGATTTATAAAAAGTCAAACTTGAATAAACAAAAAACATTATAGGTCCCAAAATATTCATCTGCCAAATGCACACCTTGCAGACAATATCAGCAACATTCTACATTATGCCAAAATGCACCGGAGAGAGAGAGAGATCAGAACGAGACAAAAGGCTATCTTGCTCAAATACAAAATAGAGTTCTCGATATACGATACAAAGCCTCAATGACACAAAAAAAAAAAAAAAGGCTCAAACTATTCCAGAAACAAAAATGTATGATAAAAAACAACATAATGCAACTTGCCATTGCCTGCAATTATCTGTGGCGTCTCTGGATAATTGGTCTTTATCCACTTCAAAAGATTCACTTGATACATGCTGGCACCTTGTGAAGAATCCTACAAATATAGAGACATTCACAAAGTAATGCGGTTCGGTAAACAATGCAAAGATTCAAAGTTCGAGTATAATATCCTTTGCAAAATACTGAGAAATTACATGACGACAAGTAAATAATTTTCGTCATATCTCAATTTCGCCATATATTTGTTTTCCTACTTATACTATTTTTTATAAAACAAGAAATAATGAATAAATACTATGCACATCCCTAAATTTTACAAAAAATCGAAACAAGCGAAGTAAAAATTAGAAATTGACGTGATGAGGAAAACTTTTTGACAACTTTTCTTCCGATTAAGTTTCTTCCGCCACCAACTTAACTCCTTTTGCGTTCTGATATCTCTTGGGAATTTATAACTAATACAATTGAACGATAATCGTCCCTATCTCACAAAGTCATTCCAGATAGCAGAGAATGAATTTTTTAAGTTGATTCCCATAATTTTGAAAAAATATGGTTGTAGAACTGTCTGTAATAGAATAAAGAAATGAATGATTCTACCCAAATTTAGGTAGAACAATTTAGATAGCTATATCCCTGCAGTGTCGCTTCTAGATTTACTCATACAGTTATAAATGTTACCCTAAACATGACTCTTTATTAATAAGACTACCTTTGTGATCCCACGGAAGCAAGATATAAAGAAAAGATGGTGAGCGAAGTCAATGTAAAATTTATCACTTACAATGACAAGAACATCAGCACCAGCCGCAACTAATTTCTTTACCGCTTCTTTTGCGGATTCTCGGGTATTTATAGCTGCGCCCACTCTTAACTGTCCCTTCGAATCGTAAGAACTACATGGAAAATCTCGAGCTTTCTTTAAATCAGTACGAGCTATTAAGGATACCAGTTCGTTTCTGCTGTTCACAATAGGTAGTTTCCCTGCAAAGATATCCGGTTAGTGAAGACATACAAATAGTAATAGGGAACGATATTAGATCATGAAATACATCTAAGACAATGGCTATTTCAAAATTGTTATCGACCATTTGGCCATCACTTCAACAACAAAATGCAATAAATAATGACTTACCTTTCTTCTCATTTTCTAAGATTTTGTAAGCATGTTCTAAAGTTAGATCTTCGCTGCCCGTTATAAGCCGGTCGAATGGGACCATTACTTCACTTATTTTCGTAGTCGGATATTTGCTCTCATCAATAAAATCTACATCACGAGAAGTTACCAAACCTACATTTTAAATACGATTTAAAGTGAACAACAAGCAAACAACACTTGAAGTACAAATAAATTTTATAAAACCAACTGTTTTAAACACCGGCAAAATCAATCTCTAGACACCTAAATTAATTTTTCCTCCAGATGATTCGTCTTGTAAATAATCAAATTTAGATGATGAGAAATTTTTTGACAAAAAGACATACCTATCAGTTGGCCACCAACATGTCCTGTTGACGTAACTGGTGTTCCTGTGAAACCATATTTCAGCTTTATCCTCATCAAATCTAACACTGTATCCATTTCTTTTATGCAATGCGGATGTGTTATAAACCCTTGCTTATAACGCTGCAAAATTTAGGTATGTTTTAATCCTACTCTGGTTATAACAAACAATTCCCAAGCACAACAAAAAATATTTCGTCATTCCTGAAAATATCTAGTCATGTCAATATTTGTGCATAGGTCTCCCTGAAAAACTGCTTAAAATACTGAAATATTGCGAACACTCAAACAATAACAATCTAATTAAAACCTTAGTGAACTACAAAAAAAAAAAAAAAAACACTGATGAGGTTAGAAAGTTAGATGAGCAAACCTCACCTTCACTTTGATAACTTCTTCAGCCTGATCTTCCACGGAGGCGAAATTGGCGTGAATTATACCAATACCACCATGTAACTAAAAAAAAAAAAATGTTGACACTGTTTTATTACAAAGACGTTTGCAGGAATAAATCGACTAATACGATCCAATCTTTATGTTAATGTCGATTACGTCAGCGATTCCTTAATATATTAATAGTCGACCCAATCCTTCTGAACACATATGAAATTTGCATATTACCAACACTCCACTAAAGCCATCCGCTGATTCGAGCATATCCTTAAGCCATACTTACTAGTTAATACTTGTAAAATGATTCCATCACTATAGCCTAACCAGCAAGTACAGATGAAGTTTTAATGTTCTTTCAGAAGGATGACATACTGTTATGCAAAGTTCGACTGAGTCAGATATACAAACAATTTACGCCATACTGAATTAGCGTATATCAGTTATCAATAATCTAAATGGTATCTAACTGCCATAGCAATCGCCATTTCGCATTCGGTTACTGTATCCATCGGTGATGACACCAATGGTGTTTTAAGCGTAATACCACGAGTTAAATGCGTTGTTAAATCCACGGAAGAAACGTCAAAACCGATATAACCCGGCAATATATTGAAATCACTGGAACAAGTATGCTATGAGTAGGCAAATTCCATTCCAAAATGTTCGTTTTCACCTAACCATTCATAAATTTCTCTTATCATAAATTTTTAATTCATAAATTTAACCATTCATAAAATTTTCTCTTATCATAAAATTTTTTTTTTTTTTTTTTTTTTATAAATTTTTCCCTTATTTCTTATAAACATAAGAAAAAAAAAATTTTTTTTTCATTTATTCCTCTAAAATTTTGTTATTATAAAAAAATTAGTCTGAAAGAGAAAAGCAGAAGGAAAATACGAGTACTTGTATGTCAACCCAACATTATTGCTCATAAGTTCATCAATTGTCTGCCCATCTTCATTAATTCTGATAGCATTGTCACCATCCATCTTTATAATCTGCTGTAAACTGTCAAATTTGTTGAAAATAAGCTTCATGTCTTCTGTGAAGATACAACAAAACAAAGTAAGAGAGAAAATACAGGCAATTATGTCCATAACATCGACCTAAGAATGTGAAGATAATTTATTCTTAAATATGGGAGAAACCATGCCCGGAATTTACGGTCAAGCAACAGTAAAAAGGTTGGATTATTATGTTATCCATTATGATGCATATACCGCTGCTCAAGAAAACTGGAAGAAGAAATAAGCAAACCAAGTCTTGTGATCTTGAAGAAAATTTTGATCCCATAAAAAAATCATTCAAATTAAATGTAAGTGGAATGCAGACTAAATTTATAAGTTAATGATGACAAATAAGAAAACACTAATGTGAAATGCTGAAGAAATATTGGATCGGTATTAATACTACATCCAGTAATATCAATACAAATAACGGAAGTTCCTTATGTGATACGCCTAGTCACAAGGAAAGTTGAAGGGTATGGACACATTTCCACAATGATACTTGTAACAACTGATGGCAGACCAAAAACTACAGTTAATTATCGAAATGTGCCTCCCCACCACTGCAACCGGATCTCTCTAGTGCGCTTAACTTAACGGGATACCGGAATTTTGTACTAATACCTTTCCAGAGGACTGGTCACTGTTCACACATAGGATTGTGAAATCATGTACTGCTTCTATTTCGTTAGACGGTGTTCAGGTTGATTGGAGATATAACATACATTACGTCGTACTGAGAGGTCTAACCATTGTCACGGAGTTAGCAGAGATGTCACTTCCAGAGATGTAAGTAATGACAAGAAGTTAGGAGGAAATTATTCGCAAATCCCACTAAATACTCGATTTTACATTAGATATAGATGGTTATGTTACTCAACTTGTTGGACTTAATTACTTGCTTATATATGTGCGATCCCCATATTTTGAAGATAACCAAGACGTTCTAATTGTCAGACATATCTTATGGCTATGGTAAGCGAATACAAAACTTTAGAAGGAAATTTAATTCACATCATGAACTCGTAAGTTGAGCGATATGAATGGATATAACAGCGCCAAGTATATTAATAGTTCTTAATTAATTGAATGTGCTATTATAAACTAATAAAAATAACGTTACATGCTGAACAGGAGCTGAATTTAATGTAATCAATAAGCTTGCAGAGAGGAGGAAATATATTGAACACACGAGTGAAGGGATAGAGTTATTAGCACATGTCAAAGGAGTAATGAGACAAGATTGTTACAGCAGTAGTATTTCTCACTGACAATGCCGTCCGTTATTTCTCTTCGAACTTGTTGCTATGGTAACTTAGCATTGAAAGAGCCGAAGGAATCTTTGTCGCAACGATTCCTGCATTGCTTGCAGTTCCCATGGAACATCAGCATGCGCCCAAAGATCCAAAGATGGCATCATCTTAGTTGAAAACAACTCGGCTGAAACTACCTGCCTCGGGGTCGATGTTAACCATCTGATTATTTGTAAAAGTGTTCAAGCTGTATAAAGTATGCTACAAGAAATCTCAACCAGTCCATCTGCTCTTACTATATTACCTTTCCTGTCTCATAAACCTCTCTAAATACTACACCACTTCACCCTGAATATTCTAATAACAGGGCAATTTCAATAATAACGAATCAGAAACATTTCTCTATTATTTGCTCTCTTTGCAACAACAGAATTACGCAAAGACTTGAAACCACTTCCCTGGTCATGAGGTTAACATTTTCAAAATGAGTGGTCAATGAATTGCATATATATGACCTGCGTCGAAAAAAATTTACCAATAAAAGTCATACCTGCACAAGTGTACATCTATAGCTGGACTTATTTTAATGCAACGAAACTGAATCGGATATCTCCAGGGCAGTAAGATTCCTACAGGAGTGCTACCTTACAAAAATATCTTAAATTATGGAATGAAGTTCTCCTGAATAGTTATCTGCTACATTGGGTAATTTATCACATATAATAACTAAAATATATAATTACTTTACATCAACGGGAACATTTAAATAATGAAATACAGTAGTATATGAAACCAGAAACGTTAAAACAACCAGATTAGAATTAAGTCATCAAAAGTATATGTATACAAGAAAAAAAAAGTCCCAACTTACCTATAATAGAATAGTGGTGGATCCATCACTTTTAAAAATGCATTAAGGCTTAAGAAACTCTGACTTTTCCCAGTTAGATATTAATTAACAAAAACTTCCCTGATTAAAGATTTTACATGGAAGCTAAAGCTAGAAAATTACTTAATATTCAAAAAATGTGTAGAGGAACTTGGCACAAGCATGAAATGGAAGAGAAGTAAAAAAAAAGCCATAAAAAAAAGACATAAAGGGACAGATTCTCGCTGTATATAATTCCTTAATTTGGGCTAACGAATTAAATAATAAATTATCAAGAAAACAAATAATGCAAATAAGACAAGATAACATGTCAAATGTTTGCCACCAGTTTTAGCAACTCGATCCAATTTCCGCATCGTTAAACCAAGCAAACCCTTCGACGCATCGAAATCCGTTTCCATTTCATTTAACAAACGATTTTGTTCTCGTACATCATCACCAATTGCTATTGTTATCTTCTTTAATGCAGCCACCTTCCCGGAGAGCTTCTCAACCAAGGCATCATTACGACGTTCCATAAATATTCCATCGTCATTTTCACCCATCACGTTTACACCATTACTGCTTCCTCGATATGTCATACCAATATACCATCAAATAAGTGAATTTCTTTACAATACAGACAGTTATATCTGAAAATTCAAAAACTATCCATACAAAAGAAAAACAGCAAAACATTTTCTGCTCATTATAGTTTTTTTTTTTTTTTTTCTTTTTTTTTTTCTAAACTGTGCCACATTATCACAACATTCCTACATCGCAAAGAAAACTTCCAACTTTACAACATCAAAGTCTTATAATATCAGAAATGAAAAAATATACACAACTGCCAGAGACTAACCGTGTAAACTGCAAATTAATACTGGAAAGTTATAAATGACTGCATTCCAGAAAATATTAAAAAAAAAAATGCAATGGATTATTCTGAAAAGTTTGAGAGTCACCAAACGCTTACACTCTACTACAAGCAGAAAATCTGCAAAGAACCATACGTGCATAGCATATGCAAGTAAATAAAAGCAAATAATTATTCAACATTTAATAAAATTTATGCTCTTACAATTCATCAAATATAGTAACAAAAAAGTGGTAAAATTGGATTCTAAATCTGTTTTAACAACATACTTTCAAACTCATGTTTAGTGAAACAAAAGTTCAATTTACATCTGGTAAAGAAAAATGTTTTCAAAATTTTGAGTTATCAAATTATTCCTGTAAGATTCCAGAAATTGTGCTAGTGAATATGCCAAGCTAATTGAGTTATTTGTCGTTTGATTTTAATGAAAATAACAAGCTAAAATCAGACACAGTCTTAATAAATATCCATAAAAAATTAGGAAACCGTTAATGTAGTCTACGAAAAGAAAGGCTAATAATTTAACAAATGAAATGGAAAATAACTGATAACAGAAAATACAACAAAGACCCATGTTATATTATTAGCTATACCGCAACATTTCTTCACATTTCAGTCAGGATAAAAAGGAGCAACAAACATATCGTGTGACTCAGCAACATTTTTTAAAATGAGTAGTAATCTGTGATGTAGCTAACATTGGAGAAAGGTTTTTTTTCCGAAATTAGTGCTTAGTTCAAATGAATTTACCAGTTACATCGCTCACGATACCTAATCTGAACTTTAAAATGTTTTCATCATAATCCGCACATATAATGTTACCTACAAGGCATAAATTACAGAATCCATTCTCTCCTTTGCTTCGTTCAGCTTCTGTGCATATGACTTCTCTGCATCGGCGAAAGCCACTTTAGAAAGTTGTCCTTTAACGAAGCGCTCCGTCTAAAATTATACACATTTTAAATTTTCATAAAAAGGAGGAAAGTCTTTCATTATTTTATGTCACGTATTTCTTAAGAAATTTTCTCCAGTAAACTAACCATAACTGTTCCTTCTCGAAATTTAATGGGGCAGATACTTCGAAGAGCGTTAATACGCTAGTTAAAGTCAACCGTTTGAATGAGCGACAACTTGGGAACTGGCGCAAGGGAAATATTAAAACTCCAAATGTTAGATTCCCACGAAATCAACAGGATCACTTAGAGACTCACAAAGTAAAACTTTATATGAAAATTTACGCACTACAGCACATACAGTAAAGCCTGTATGACACTGTTTTGAAAAGTATTTCCTTGGCGTTTCAAAATTCCGGAGATAAAATCTGTTAGGGAAGTTTTGCTATTTTTCTATTATTAATGTACCGACGGTAGATAATGTAGTTTCAAATTCTAGGTTTCATTTTACGTCTTACCATGATGTAACATTCTAATGTACTTAATTTTCTTGCTTTATTCACAAGGACCGAAAAAACACATTATCAACAAAACAAAAGTACTATTAGCAACAAAAACATAACAGTGATGGCAGTTTAGATTTATTTCAAAAGATTAAATCTTACCTGCCCTAAATAATTGTTTATAAGATCCATCGTTAGCTTGTGGACTTTACTGACCTCGTTCAGCTGAAATTAAATAACGACTCGATCACTACAGCTATAATTCAAAAATACTAATTGGTTTGAATTATTTTGTGTTTACTTGCTAGAAGGACACAACTTCCATTCCTTACCACGTATAAGGAATAACACATAATATTCTGGTGAATAAATCAATAAAAAATCTAAAATTATTACAACTTCCTTTAAACAGCTATAAATTAATATGATATATACTCCACTATCTCTTCAAATGCGGTAATTGCGTGAAACGAAAATAAGGAAATACCTTGTCAGATATATCAGCGTTTGTAGATTTCAATTCGCTTTGCAGATCACTGATAGCGTGTCCAACATTTTTCAGATCATTTTCTGCCTTTTTTCTTGCTGTTGTAAATGCAGCCAGATCCTGAAATTGCAACAGCTTCTTCTAAGCTATAAAACAGTATAGTATGAAATAAGCTATAAAACTGCCGCCTCTACTTTTCTTATATGTTTAAAGAACATCAGGAGGCAAACAAGACCTTATTGTTTTTGAATTTGTTTACAGCATCCGTGAAATGGTCATAAATTTTTAATCTATCAGCATGTAGGTCCGTTAGTTGTTCCACCTGTCCCTGCGCTTGCAAGCGACTTTCTGTTGCAACGTCCTCAAAATGCATATAGAAAAGTACAGTACTTAATTTTGGGCTTGCATTAACAAGATGTTGGAAGAGAAATAATATAGAGATAAAGTACACGAAAGTGGGGAAAGACACTTTGTTACTTAACAGCAAAAACTTTAAACAATAAGTATAGACCATAACTGATCAAGGAATTGTAAATGTCATTCATTTAGGCTACGACTAGGAAGACATTTTTACACGAGAGTTTCTGGAAAAGGATCAGTGGAACTAAACAAATAAATCCCAAACACAAGAAAGCCACAAATAAAAACCACTGAAAGTGAACAATTTACAGGTGAGATTGTGAAATCCAGTCGGACATATATGATGACTGCAATAAACAGGGCTGCAAAGGCAGCACAAGCAAGGAATGGTTCTCTCCAAAGCTGCATGCGGTCAAATTCGTAGTGTAACTGCAAAATCATATTGTGATAACTAACATATGAAGCAAAACTACATTACTTCAATCAATGTAAAGCATGTCGACTTGTATTTCCGTCCCATTATGATTCATGGCATAGCTACGAAATCTTCGGAAAAATACCCGAATAAAAAACATACAGTGAACATTTGAATATGAAAGTCAACGAGGTTATCCTTTTCGACTGTGATAACAGGACGGCCAGTGGTGTCCAAGTATGTGAAATGCAACTCATCCGGAAGTCTCGTCACTGGATATGGTGTTGTCAATTTAAAATTCCTGCAAAAAAATATTTGGTGAAGAGTTATAACAACTTTAGTCATTTGAATGCAACTAAAAATCGGGAATCAAAATAAAATTAGAACTAAAATAAGAAGTGTAAACACTTACTTGCTACCTTCTGGTAATATAATTTTCAGCTTCAAGTTTTCAATAACAGCGTCGTCGAACAGATGATCGACAATACGCATCTTCAGTGCAAATTTATTGCCTGATGAATAAAGATACTGGTAAGCTGGAACATTGTAACCGAGTACGTAATCCGTCTTCCATCCACCAAACAATGGAAAACGCGGCTGTACAATTAATTCAACAACATCTGGCATTTTTCGCACAGCTGAAGTAGAAATATTGCCAATTTCATCTCGATAATAAATATCCTTCGCCGATGCTGGTAACAAAGTCTGCAATTAATCCCTTGAATTAAGTTAAAGTATGTAAGGACAAACACTGGGAAAATACATACCTTATATTGAGTTACTATTGGTCTTTTACTGCCCCTTCGATCCATTTGAAAATCAAGACGAGAAAATGAACCCTGAAAAATGAATATTAAAAGATATTACAACATCTTCAGTATGAAAATTTGAACCAAATCAAAATACCTTTAACTCTGCTCCTTTATGGATAACACTGATCGCTTCTTCCACAGCAATATTACCCCAATGTGAAACTTCAATCACTCTGACAACATCAGTTGCTACAACGAACGGAGTGTTGTTTTCACAGTGCACAATAATTTCCGCCTCAAACAAAGTTTACAGTTCAAAAAAAAAGTTGTTCTAACCAGAAAAGGTGATTTTAATGTTTCGATTTCGAAAATTCGTTATATGTAACTAAAAGTCTTACCACTGCATACGGTTTCTGATTTATATATGGACCATAGGTTATTTTGCCATTATCAACTGATGTTGGTAAAACTGTTGTGTGAGATTCAAGTCTTCCGCTAGGTAGAAGTATCACAGTTTTCTCTTGCTTTACTGGATATATACTTGGAACATGGGCATTTCCTTTGTAAACAGCAAACCTAATTTAAAAAAAAAAATCAATTATGTCGCATAAAAAACTTTTCTCTAAAGTAAACGTCAAAGTTCATTTAAAGTGATCGGTACTATACTGAAGGCCTTATCCACCACCAACCAAACTGACGCATACTACAGATTATTTTTGAAAATGTGTAACAATTTTTTCGGTTTCAACAAACAACACACAGTAAAATTCAGTTATGCGAGTAAGAAAACAGTTCTTCGAAAAAACAAGAAGCTTAACAACTTAATGAAAACCTACTGGGATTCCGCCTGAGTGATCCTCTTTGGATGTAATTCCAAATATTCTGTTAGTTGATACTCCACAGTAATAAAAATTTTGCCGTTCGGTGGAAGAGCATTTTGGAATTCAATCTATAAACACAATTTAGGGCACTTTCTTTCCTTAGTTACTTTTCATAGCACATAACAACTAGCAGCATATAACATCCAAACACTGGAAATTTTAGAAAAATGGAATGAAAACCTCGTAGGCCACAAATCCTTTTTTTATACTGCCCTTTTCATGTTTGATATCCGACATTTTCAATTTCGTATCTTTTTTCGAAACAGTTGCAGAAATGTACGCGAGTCGTAAATATTCCTTTTCATGGACTAAATGTTCGAAACTGCTGATTTCCTTCCCACCATCATTTGTTACTTCATATTTATCCGTTACTTTTACTACCTGCAAGAAAAACTCATATATATTGGCAGCAACAATTAAGCTTTTATGTAAACTACTCTAGCGGAAAAAGCAAGTTCTTGTCTGTGATTTTTTTGTCAATTAAAATTATTCAGATGTAATCGTTTCAATAAAAAAGGCTATAATCAGCTAATGGACTGAATGCGGAAGTTCTTTAACATTATAAAACTTTGTTGTAAAAATGCTGCTGATAGTCTAGCGTATGTTCATGCTATATACTGGAAGCAATGTTGCACTGAATGACTGGTGAGCTCGAAAAAAACAAATCAAAATTAAAATCAAGTTGAAAACAGGTACCTGTGTTGATATGTCAATCACTCGTTCTACAGAAATTGTAACATCGCCGGAAAGCAATTGAGTACTATCAACTAAAGCGGAGATAACTTGTAAAGCAAAAAAGTTTTTCCACAACGACATCATCATATTTCTCCAGAATTTCCTTCCCGGATACTAAATTCGTCAGCAGCTAATAACAACAAATGTCATTACATATCAGCAACAAAAATTACGTAGATGATGTGAATTTTAGATAACTTGAAGAAAAGATATAAAAAAAGACCTGTGTTAGCCAAAAATTACCGCTCTACTACTTCTATTCTGTAACTTACATGATTAATTGTCAACGAGCAAACTGTAAACTGGATTAGTTTCCTCTGGTTAACCTGGTCATTTGAAAGACTACTTCCAGATAGGGGCACTGCTAGTTAAATTGATTTACTTTTACTTGCTGGTGTTAGAATTCTTCATGCCAAACTATTATCATCTTAGTAAATACTAAGCAAAACGAAGTGGAGTAGAAAGAAGAGGCTTAGAAGAGTAATGCATGTATCACAATGGTCAAAGGATATCACACGTGACACACACGTCATCCAAACTCTACAATAGTCCCAACGTTGCATAATGGTTATGGGACAGAAAGAGGAGAATGAAAGAACGACGGAAGTGAAGAGAGTGCGGGAAAGATAGTATTGCGAAAGGCATGAAACTGCTGGATAGTAACATGATCAGGGATCATGGTGTGGGTTGGGTCTTTCATGCGGGATTATGTTTGGGAGTCCCTTCCAGAAAATTAAAGGGACTATTTCTGAAGATGATAGATGTGCGGAACGTCTGGTGTGTGGTCGAAGTTTTGATCCCGCTATGTGATAAACTTCGTCATAAAATACGTTTTAGATGTCGGAATAGTTGGATGTGTTATTAATTAGTCTGCTACAGCTGAAATGGGATATGGACTGTTGCTTGCTGCCCAGCTTGCCAGTTATAGCCCTGTTTGTACTGGAAACTTTAGTCTGTTTGTGGGAATGCTTATAAACTATTATGGTTTTTGTTTCCAACAGTTCGTTCTTTGTTGTTACTGTTAGGTTATTGATATCAAAAATTTCAAGTACTCTTCAATAAAAAGTTAATAATAAAATAATTTATGCAGAATTATTGATGGCCATGCGAATTTGTAAGTCAAAAAAAGGAATTGTTGTCCACATTGTGTAGAGAGTTAAATTTGCTGCATGATTCAGAATTTGCTTAATACTGACTTTGTCGGATAAATTGTGTGTTGGAGTTGGAATCGGAATTGGAAAATCATGAATTGGAATTTAAAAAGATAGTTGATTCTTTTCTGATGACGGTTCACTTTTACCCCAAAGAATTTACATCAATTTTTACTTTTTTGTATAAACTGAAAAAACGAGTAAATTGTTTTACTTTCAAGAAATTTTGTACATTTGGAATGTAAAGTGTCCAGTCAAATAAAATAAGCTGATCGTTAATTTTCAGAGAAATTTCTCGCAAATCATTGCTGATGGAGATAATTTGTCCTTGTAGTTCCTGAAACATATGTCCGTGTTTTTTCCAATAAATCAAATGAGTTGTGAAAGTTAAAGATCTAAATAGAGAAGAATTCTAATAAGTAGGTAGCTCAAAGTCTAAAGGAAAATCATCTTTCCCAAATAATACATACGAAAGTTACACAAAGCTGGAAAATTTCATTTTCGAAATCTGATGAGAAACGAGTTGTTGGATTATTCATCTTTTTGTTTTACAATCCAATGAATAGTGAAGGAAAATATGGGGGATGAAGAGAAGACGAGTTTTTCCGAACTGGTACCAATTCTAAACTAGCTGAATAAAATTAATGGTTATGATATAATTATAGCGAATCGAAAATGATACAAGCATCATGGCATTATCTCGATCTAGATTTTCAGTAGAAGACCAAATCCCCCATACTACCAGTTAACCATTTAACTGCGGTACCAGGTAATACAAGAGCTGAGCTTTGCCGCAACTTTTTCCATGATGATTGATAGCAAAAGAAGTTCATTCCTATTCTCTGCCTACATGCAAATTTGCAGTGCTTCAATAATAAGAATTTCAAAAACTACCGTCTTTTAACTTAGCCAAGTTTTAGGCAATGGTGGGATTCGCAATACTTCTCTTTTGAGATGTTTTCTTAGAACGTTATCTCTTAAAAACTTCAAAATTCCCCAGCATTATTAACTATTATTAAAAACGATTCTCAAATACTTCCGAAACACATGTCATATGATTGTATCTCAACTCAATTCTGCTGTATATGATGACAAATTTAACTACTCTAGCACAGCATATCAGCTACCCAGATGAAAAATTAAAAACTTTCAAATATTTATGTGGTGTATCAATCTCAGATGTTAAATTCCTCTCATGATCTTCCTATCTCGACGTTGTTAATAAAAGTTTCAAGTGGTGAATGAGCAGTGGGAGAAAAAGTTTTGCTAGACTGTTAAGTGGAACGAAAAGGGGTGAATCCTGGAATGCCGTTGGCAATGTGAATCCGAGTCATCGTCAGCAAGGTCGATTAAATCAGTAAAAAAGCTGAAAAAGAAAGCAGTAAAAAAGCAAGTTAATAGCAAAATAGAACCGGATCTATCTCGTCGTCTTCTTTTCCCATTTTCTGGTCCATTTTGTGTAGACTTCACTGTCATACGTGTGATTCAAATGAATTATACTAGCTATTTGATAAAACTTCCATGGTTAGTTTGATAGGTAGTGGGAGGAGATTCATATTCTGTATATAAGCTCCAAAAATTTTATCACATAAATCATTTACTTCTTCAACATCGTAGAGAAATATTTCTACCCAATATCGTAGAGAAATATTTCTACTGCAGCTCTTCTCTATGGTCTTTAAAGGAAAAACTCATCTACCTTAGCATCCTTGTTTTTCCCGTTTGTTCTGGATATTCAACTAAAGTTTTGATAAAAACAGATTTCATAAAAAAAAAAAAAAAAAAAACATCTTCATTTTATAGATTTTCGGATTAATAACAAATATAATACACACTTGATTACTGCATTGAAAATTGGGATCTAGCTGACTGGAAGGATTTTTAAATAACATCAAGTAGTAAAGCGTTTAGATAGAGTAATTTCTTCAACGTTTTAAACCGTGAACTGTTGTCTAAACGACATACTTACTGCAGTGCTTTGTTAAGATCAAGCTTCTAAACCAAAGTCGCAATGAGCAGAGGTATGCTAAGCGTTATTGCCCTGTACGTATGCATTGATATCAGCAGAGGATGTTTTTCATCTGGAGTTTGTGATGGTGGTTACGGTTGCACACAACCGGTGGTTCCTGTATGTTCTGGCGGTTGTTCTCCTGGATATGCTTGCGGCCAATACGGCTGTTACTCCAGAGCACGTGCACGATCCTCGAAAATAGTTGATGATGTGATAAACGACAAGCACACAGATGATGCTATTAATGCGGTAGCTTCTTCCCCTGCTGCAAAAGTATCTTTAAAATTATGAAAATTTGTAGCTGAGTAATTGATGTAAATATAAACATTCTCGATAGGGAATTTTTTAATTACTACAACTACTCAAAAATGTATTTTTCAAATGGTACTGAACTTCTTAATTTTAATAATAAACCAAAATCTGTAATTAATCCTTTTTTCTTAAAAAATTCCCCAAATCAAGTTTTTTTTTTTTTTTCTCTAGATGATTAAGATGTAGCCGTGTTTGGTATTCTTTCACGTCATCATTAAGTGATCATCACTCAAAAGGTTGTATTAAAAATGAGCAATTCTAATTTTTCACTGAAAGAGCGCTTTCTGCGAAAGAGTTAGAATGTGAAATTATTATATAAATTGTAATCAATTTCTTTATTTTCCTTCCTTGTAGCGCCAAGAAATAAACGCTGAACAAATGACTAATGAACAGTTCTATGAATGCTGTCTTTATCAACAGCTTCCGGATAGTTGCTTAGAAAAGTGTTCATATGCTACGTATACAAAAAATACTTTGCAGGTAATGATTTAAATTTAAAAATCATGTCTGTTGAATCACATTTTTGCATATTTCATTTCTCAAGGAACTCCGAAACTATAAAATGTGACAGTTCAAATGATTCATTATCAATGAAAGCTTTGATGGTATTAAAAATTTACTAGTTCTAGATTTAGGCCATGTATCTTCATTTTGATAAATGTCCACTGTCAGCATTAGCTGATATATCGTATTGTGCTGCCGGTGGACTGGATCATACAGAATGCTGCATACGTAACGATGTTGCAACAACATTTGCTGGAAGGAAATGTCTCACATTTTGCGACCAAGTATCAATTTTATCTCTGAAAAATTTTAGGATTTCGAGTCTAATTTATGCTCCAGCCCAATATAATACTCTGAATTTCAAAATAAATGATGGGATTTTATCACTTTACAGCGACCTGGAAATGTGACGAAACTAGACTTTTCCTATCTACCCTGCTATGAACGCTTCGAAAATATCAAGAGTTGTTTTATGGAGCATATTGGTATCAAAAATAGACCAGCAACTGTTGATATAGAACTTGCACGAACATTCGAAACTTGAAGACGAAATAAATTTCCTTTCATACTCAGTTTTGGTCAGTAAAAGTCCGGTACTCTTTGAAAAAATCGTACAAACAATTAAAATCCTAAATTCATTTTTCAAACTTGAAACCTTCCTAAAACTGAATTGCTTTGAAACTCGCTCATCACATGAAAACTCAAACAAATTTTATCTATTCTTTCCACATTTGTATACTCCAGTCTCGAATCACAATTGAATACAGTGTTAGACAATTTTGATACTTGTTACTTCACTTTAACTTATTTTAAGTACGCTAAATTTTGTTCACACTACCGTTTTATCAAAGAAATACTGTATTTCAATAAAATAATCGTTCTTAAGCTATGTGACATGACGAAATTTATGAACTGTATTCCACAATGTCTCAACTTTTGATTGGTTTTGCTTCCATTTTTTTTTTATTTCTTGATAAATTTTGACGATTCGTTTTATCACTCGTCAACGCATATATTTCACATTTTCATCCATAAATGCAAAAATGAGACTTACCTAAATAATAAGAATCTATAAATTTCAGTTTTTATATTTATTTGAAATAACGTAAATGTAATTAGATGCGCAATTACAGAGTAATATCTGAATTGTTGAATAAATTTATTATTAGCATAGCTAATGTAAACTGCTAAATGTTTGTTAGATTCACTGATAAACAAAAATTACGAACAGTAAAACTGGACTGCTGGAACTATAAGAAAAAACGAAAAGAAAACAAAACATTAAAATAACCGATACTTTTACGGAGACCACACGTTGAATGATATACATTTAGAATATTTCTGGGATCTATCAGGTATGAAGAGTTTTTGAAAAGTATAAGAAGTCCAGATAATGCATTTCCTTACTGAATTACATGTTGTATATCAATGAGATGTGGCACGAGGCACTTAGTCGAGTTCATTCTCGACATCTGTAACTGCAAACGCTTCTGTTTCATAAGTGGAATCATGCTTAGCCAATATTCTCAACAGAGGCCGTAGTCTCATCCACCACTGATCTTTCGGTAAGCGATGCTCAAAATCGGTCTCTTGAGCCAATTCTTCAACTGGTGTAAATACCATTCTTCGATCCTGGAACAAAGTTTTGCTTCTTAACATATATTTTAAAGATTGCTTAGTAATTTCGTAATTTTGAACAAACTACCTTTAGACCGAGAAGTGTAGCGCTGTCTGCAGCAGTTGCACTAGTTATTCCACTTGACAAATCAATGTACTTCTTTGCTTGAACTAAAATAAATTCTAGAGCGTTTGCAGCAAGTTTCGTACCCATGTTACGATCAAATGGCGCTGGATTACCACCCTGTTGCGCATGTCCTAGCACATTGATTCTGTAACAAAATCTCCATTCCTTGAAACAGCCTTTTTTTAAACAATATAAATGTTTATTTGTAAATATAAAGTTGTAAATGGATGACGATCCATCAGCTGCTATGCTCGCCCTGCTTAGTGACGTATATTCACTTTATAAATCCAATTTTTACACTGATATTCGCAAACTGAAGTTGGCTTTGTCTTTTTTTAATTTTCATAATATGGCTTATAGCGAATAGAACAACTTTTAAACCAGTGGCCCACATATAAAATACTTCACATGATGTAAGGCATTTCTCAGCTACCTTGTTGAGAACTGTCCTCTGCCCTCTTCCGAAAAAAGTTGATTAACAAATTGTGTAGTATAATTCTTGTTAGCCAATTCACAACGAACAATAAGATACCGTTGTACACCAGTGCGCATTTTTCGGGCAATAACCTCAAGAACAAATCGAATCACACCGATATAAATTTGTTTAAAAAAACTAATTATTTTAGATTTTTCCCAATTAAAGTGAAACAATGTAAACTTAGGTGCAATGAAATTTGTGGATTGTATTTTATATTATCTTGAGAAATGACAACTTGCTCTATAAACTTGCTTAGTTATTTCTCTAACAAATATTTTGACGGACAAAATATAGAATGGAGAAACGATATATTAAAAAAATACCTTAACATCTTCAATGATATCGCTGACATTGAACTTCTCTTCAAATATATAAGCATTATCAGCTCCTGATGCAAGAGCTGAAAGAGTCGCCAAATATCCACAAAATCCGCCCATTGTTTCCACAATAAATACGCGTTTTTTGGTACCCGTTGCAGACTGCTTAATTTTATCAATCACTGCACAGATTTCATTAACTGCAGTGTCGGAACCCAAAGAAATCGATGTACCGGGTACGTTATTACTGATAGTACAAGGTATTACGCAAAGTGGGATACGAAGTGATGAATATTGGCTACGAGCATGTGAAAGCATCAAGCAGGAGTGATAAGCCTGAAATATTAACTTTTTTCTTAGTTTTGATTTTCAACTAGAATGAACTGATTTCATATACTTGCTGACAGAAAATCCATTTCTGTCATTTCTGAATTGAAAATCTATCCCTGAAATACTAATTTTATTCTTCATTTTTCCGTTAATTTCATCAAATTTGTTATTTTATAGCAACTGTCATATCATATCAAAATTTCTTCCACCAAATACAATAAGCAGTCAGTTCTTTCCCTCCAGAAATCGAATGATTAAAAAGTACCTCGAAACCTCCGACAATCAATAATCCATGAATTTTGAATTTTTCTAATGTTGCTGCAACTTGGTCCATATTTTTATCCGGTAGTTGTTTCTGAGTACCCAAGAATGACCCACCATACATGACCCAACCATTTACATCTTTCCACGACATTTCCTGGATGCATAAAGATAATTTCAGCAAAGTTTATTAAAGCGAATCAGATTTTCGTTAATGAAAAAAAAGCCTTACTTTTAGATCCCCGTTTGCTAGCCCTTCAAATGAATTTTTAACACCATACACTTTACAGCGACGATAAATACCCATGCGAACGAATGAACGCACTACTGCATTCATTCCTGTAAATCTCATGTTCCATTTGCAATTTTACAATGTTATAATTTCAACAGCTCATCATTATTCGCTACAAAATAAACTACATCAGCAAGATTCATCAAATTAGTGACGATTTGAAAGTTCGATTTATCCTTAATGTAATTGGCGAATAAGCAGTACGAGACTTGTTCCATGTCAGATAATGCAAAAGAACAGACAGTATGGGAAGTATTCAATAAATATAATAGCATAAATGTATCAATAAAACATAAGATAAAACCTCCAGCAGGTGCTCCAACATTTATGACTGCGACGTTGTATGATGATGACTCATTCGATGGCATATTGCTTTTGGGTTCTAATTTTGTTAATAGACGATAAGTTTCCAGGTTTCTCTGAAAGCTTCGTCCCCGTAGTTTCACGGCTGTGTCCCAGTCGTGCGTTTCCATCGCTTTTTGAACCTACAGATGTATTTATTTCTTATTCGTTTTTTTTTTTTTTTTTGATTTGCTAAACAGAATTGTAAAACTGGAAGAGCTGACGATATTTGCTAGATTTATGAACAAATCATAGTTAAAAATTTATCATAAGGTAAGTCCAAAAGTTTTTATAATAATCTATTTTAGTAGCTGAAGACTAACTGCTTGGGTACGATGAACACATTGCATGAGCGGTACTCGAACAATAGCATTACCATCGATGGACACTACACAGGGTTCTGATGCCGGAGTCATTTCCATGAGTGCAAGCACAGCTTCAGCACCCATTCGACATCCAAGAAGTCGATCAAAAGCTGATGGACTTCCACCACGTTGGACGTGACCTAGCACGGTTACACGTGTATCATAATGCAGCTTCTCTTTTATTACATCTTGTACCTGAATTCCTCTTGTTCAAAAACTGGAATATTACAGAATTTCACTTCATTTTTAAGTTTTTTCAAAGAATCACAAGACTTATGGATTAAGCAACAGATAGCCTAACTTGAATTTTTTTGCTAATGGTAGTTCCTTTCAATAAAGATTACCTACCTGACTGGCTGTAATAGCCTTACCATCTCGATCCAGTGCCCCTTCGGCAACTATGATAATATTCAACCGTGATCCTTCCTGTCGCATTACTTGTAATTTATGACACAACACTATTGGCCAATCTACCGGTACCGGCCATTCAGGAATAAAACAGAAATCTGCTTCCGATGCTAATGCAGCTACAAGTGCCAGATAACCACAATGCCGGCCCATCACCTTTAAACATTTTATACTTCACTTTTAGAATAAATAAATTTTAGAAATAAGAGACAGTGAAATTAAAAAATATCTCCATTGGTAAAGAATACGTAATAAGGTACAAGTGGGAATTAAGCATAGTTAGCGAATATGTATTGTAAAATTGATGCGGGCAAAAAGGAAAAATCTTCTTTGATTTTACTTTTGACTTGCTCCTGTAATTTATCACTCAGTTCTTATAAAGAACAATATGTCACCTCAATGACAAAAGTACGTTGATGGCTGTGCGCAGTTGACACTACAGAATCGATAGCATCAATAATTCGTTGAAGCGCAGTATCGGTACCAATCGTCATATCGGTCCCACAAAAATCATTATCAATGGAACCCACAAGGCCAACAATCTGGAAAAGAAAAATTTTTAATGTGCATAGTTTCTCTTTCTCCCTGAAAATTCCTATCTTTTTCAAAAAAAAAAAATGGATGTTTAAAAGTGGACTAAGAGAAAAAACTTGTTATCCAGCAGAGAAAGACAGAATGTTTTGCGATTTGGATGTTATCAGTTTAAATTACAAAAAGAAAAATTATAAATCTGCAAGCTTTTCACTTGAATACTTTTGCACGATTCACTTTCTTGTTGACTTATTTTTCCAGATGCAAACAATTCTTGAATCAAACTTGGCCATTCTTGACGGAATAAATTTGCACCCGTTAGCGAGCCATCACCTGCATGTTAAGTTCACTTATTAAAAAATGAATCTGTTCAGTTGTAAGTTCCTGTTATTACTGAACTATAAAACCTCTGATCGGAATTTCATGTAACGACAAAGCTTTGAAGATAATTTGACCATCAAATTTTGCAACTTGAAAAGTGAGATGAGATGATACCTCCAATGCACACTAAATGAGTAATTTGCTTTTTGATGAGATTTTCAGCAGCACGAAGTCGACCTGGACGTTCACGAAAATCTTTGCAGCGAGCCGAGCCAATTATTGTACCTTAAAGGTATACTTTTGAATTAAGAATGATTTTATGATCAACACAGAAAGAAAATCGTAAAACACACAATAGGTTTTATCAATAAACAACAAACCGCCTCTTTGGATGATGTCTGATACAGAATCCCATTCAGCTTCCTTGATATATTCACCACCATCCACCATACCTTGGTAACCTTCATAAATGAAATATACTCGACAACCAAGGTAAAGGCCCATCCGGACAACTGATCGCACTGCACTGTTCATTCCTGCAATTTTTTTTCAAATTTGTAATTTGCACAACATCCATTTCTGGAAGATCAATTTTCATGCAGATATTTTTCCATAATATTTGATCAAGAATTATTAGTGACACTAAGGACGATTAAATATTATCAATATGTTTTATAATCACAAACCAGAAGCATCACCACCACTTGTGTAGACAGCAATCGATTGTCCTTTATAAAGCTTTGGAGCAATTAGAATGCCCTCATGACCTTCGGTTGGAATTATGGAATCTGATCGAACTTTTGAGAAATGTCTCCTACGAACTGATATTTCCTTTAGAGGACCCAGATCATCGTCATTTTGTACTGCTGCGTTTGCTTCAGCTGGTTCCGCAAATGGCGCAATCGGCACTGTTGTCAGTTGTGTGGAAGATGAAACAATACGTTGCGGAATCGGAGTTGATTCGGGTTGTGTTGCCATTTTCTGTAAGAATCATTAATGTTTAAAACATCTCAATTTGGAAAAATAAAAATCATACTGCAACCAAAGAGCGCTTTGGTTGCAGCGCTTTTAAATAAAATGTGTCGGTCCAATGATTCTAATTATTCATGTGATTTAGTGAGTATTCCATGTAATATACAGCCAAGCAATGTGTTTCTACTTGGATTTTGTGGATTTCGATATGATTATCATAAAATTTTCAGTCTTGAACATTTTAAACTATTTTTTATCTACAGAACTATATTTTAGAATGCAGATTATGTAAGTCTATAAGTGTCGTAGAATCAAAACTGTTTGATGCTAGAGTCATTCTTTGAATCATTCTTTGCAAACTAGTCGAAAATTTTTATAAGAGGAGACAAAATTACTACAAAAAGACGCCGAAGACAGGAGACGAATTCTTTGGCCTAAATTACTATGTAACTTTATGATTGTATTCATCACGATTTTACATATTTTTCCTTATTTAATTTTTAGAATCCGTTGAATGGAAATTTTCATATCACATATCATCTATTAGTTGGATCTTTAGAATCTTAAGTTTCGATTTTCAGGATCTAAAAAAGCGATAAATGTTTACGATTCATCAACTTTACTAATGATGTATGAAGATATTTTGTTTGATTCGTTTAACATGCACACACATATACACCGTACGCATAAAGGAATGAATATAAAAAATACATACTGTTTTGACAACATTTTATGATCGTTTAATTTTAGGAAGTCCTAGGAATGTTAGTCGGTTCTATAAGGCTTATCCTTACAAACAGTTTTATAAGGATACCTGGATTTCCTGCTGCAAGCACTTTATCCTACGGAAGAAGAAATTCCAAAACTCTCAAAATGTGGGTATAAAAACTACACAATGTTATGAGCATCGATCAAATTTAACTGTATGCCAGTTATGAATGAAATATTAGCAATAAAGAAAAGCTTCCGCATAGTAACAACTTCCAAAAATTTACCCTTTCTTCCTGTTTTTGACCCACAGCTTTGGCAGCTCAAAATGAGCAAACTTACTTCAAAATGAAAAAACAAATGGAATATGTTTTGTGATGTTTAATAGACACAATGAAAACAGTAATGAAAGAAATTTTTAAAATGTAACGGCGAATGAATGCATAAACTAGTAAAACACATACTTTAGTTTGTAAACAGAAGACGGAACGTTAGGGTGAAAAAAGCCTAAAAGACCTTGTTGTGTATTACTCTCAACGTCAAAATAGCAGTTTGAAATGAAACATAGCTCTAAAATTTGCGTTCCACCTTACATTGCCGATTGTTTTAAGGGAGAAGAGATAATCTAGAGAAAATGCAGTTGAAATGTTTTCGAACCTAAAGTTTTTCAAAAAAAGTTGTTAAGAAGTATTAGCACTAGGGAAGAGATATAGCTGATGGCTAGATTAATCAGTGAGGCTTTCCGATACTCACTCTCAACTAAATACTTTCGCAGTGTTAGATGATGCTAGAGGACTGCAATGACGTTAGCAACAATGACTTTACTGAAAATCATAAAGTTCTATCACTGGTTTTCATGACAAGGAATCGACAACGGATCGATATTTTTAAAGCCATTTCTTTTTCTCAAAAATTTATGAGATTTTGGCATAAGGAACTTGTTCTGCTATGTCTTTATGAAATGAGTGTCGCAAGGAAAGAATTTAAAATGTGTTGCATCTCACTGGCTTATTTCACATATTGCCAAAAAAAGGATTTGAACGACTTTCAAAAACTCAAAATACTCCAAAATAAGTAGCGATGTGATACGTCATTATTATATGTGTATTTGGGGTTTTCAATACGCTTCTATTTATGAACTCTTATTAATAAGATATCAGTTGGAGAGTAAGATTTTATAAACCGAATCATCCAGAAAAGATCGATGATAGCAGCCGTCACTAAACCATTCCGTTTAAACATTATTCACTGCAAAAAAAAAAAATGAACGAAGTAAATGAAATAGCGAAGAAGTAAGATAAATTCATTAAACTGCTTCTGATATATGAAATTTTGAAGGAGTATTTAAAGCTCTACACAATATTTCGCGGAGAATATTCAGTCATACAATGTCGGAATATGGGCTTGTTACCCTCAAAAATAGATTCTTTCACTACATCAATCGACGAGTCACTCATATGTTCACTTAGTGGAAAAATTCCATTTACATCTATTTTGGATAAATTTTGTAAAGCACATCAGCAATGTAGAAAGCAGCCATTTCATAAAATGATAATTGAAAATTGTATCTATACTCAAACGAAACCTATATGCTTCTTTGTTACATCAATAAGACGAGTTAATGACCATGACAGGTAATAAATTGCTAATGAATCGTCATGATCCAATTATCTATCAGATATGTAAAGCAGTAAATTTTGTCGTAAAAAAAAGGCATCTATATGTTTTTCAAGTGTAAGGTGATGGAACCGTTTTTAATTAACTTAATGATCTCCATACAAAAAGCGTACTGAAAATTTGATTTCCAAAGATTGCTATTTGTAAAAAATTCCGGCAAAGTTTTTGCGGAATTGGTAAAATTGATTCCATTTTGTTAATTGCTGAAATGAGTGTTTTATTGGATTAGTTGGAATGCACGAAACTTGCGTTTAATCAAAATTCGATAGTTCCAGTGAAGACACTTCTCGATAAATATTTGTGAACTCCAAATTTAAAAGGCGTCTTTGGTTCTTTATTTAAATTGAGAACTCTGTTAAGACGTGCATTTTCATGACGTGTCAGATCACGATGATGTGTTGCTGTTAGGTTTGTACATTTGATGGGTAGTCTTTGTGATGGTTGTAGGGGTGTGTGGGTGGGGTTTGGGTAAGGAGTTTGTGGATTATTTCTTTCACTTTTGTACTGAGGCAAGGGGAGCAGGCATACTTAACATTAGACCTCTTTGTTTCATATATTTTTACTTATTATCGGATCAGAAAGATCTCTTATTATTGTTATCATGTTAAAGTCGTAGGCGGAAAGAAAAGGTACGAATGAGACAGTGATGGAAGAGAAGGACAAGTTGTCACCTCGCATTTATCGTCGAATGGAAGACAAAAAAGCTTGGAATGCGTACTGGCAGGTTGTTTTACTTTATTCTGAGATGTATAAGTATATGAAAGTGATAAAGATTTAAGTTCCTTGTTTTTCAGAGATAACATTTTCCTGAGATTGCAGAAATCTGTATTTTGTAATTCTGTTGTTCCTGGAATGTTGGTTCTAGTTATATTATTCTATTATTTCATTTCAGTTGCGGAAGCTCGAAAGTCAAGGGAGCTATTATATCCGGCTTTTGTACTATGCCCATAAAGCAGTAGATGTGCCGGTTACGTGGTTCAGAGGTATTTTTGATATCAGCCTAGATGAAAATTATTGTTTACACGAACATTGTAGCATATTTAGCTTGTCATTTTTGTTCTTAACTATAAGCGTTGTTTTAGAGAAGATAATAGAGCCAATGAATGACAGATATCGTTCACCGTACTATCATCGTAAGTTGAATCGAGTTCCGGGGATTGATGATTGTGCTGTGGATGATTTGTCATGCTTTTATGAAGCCAATACACAATTCCGACTTGACAAGTTAGTTCTATAACTACCTTTACATGAAATTCAATCATCAGACTTAACAAATATTTCTAGTTCTTTTACTTTCCTGTTCACTTTATGTTTTAAAAAAAATAGTAAAGGTTGGTCGACCAGAACATCCTGGATATTCTTCGCCTACGACTTTCCAGATGTATGGATTACAATGCTCCGAATTTTGTTCCGTGTGCAAAGGTAATTTTTTTCAAGGTGATGCACGTGATTTTGACGCTTACTGAATACGGACATTAGAATTCGTTTTGTTCTGACAGTTTTTTGAATTCTCCTGTAATAAATAATAGCTTTACTTACATAAACTGATACGTAAGAGTAAAATTTTTCAGTTAATAGATGATGTAGAAGAGAACGAGTTAAATTTCTTCATAAAGTATGGTGAAATCGGGCAGGAGGGTGATGTTCGAGATGCTTACATGAAACAGAAACATCGAATGATTTGGGAGAGACGACATCCAGAAATAATGAAAGCACGCGCAGAAGCATGCGAGGTAAGTACTAACATTTGGTTGGCATTTTTCATTTTTCTTTCGCTGTGTGCAAGTGCTTCTTACTATATACCATACAAGTAGTCGTGTACGCGCAATCGAGATTAAGGAGAGAAGAAGGAGAAAACAGAAAGGGCTCATTTACAGTATTATAAAAAATGAAGTACTTCATACTGTTCTGTCAATGAAGATTTTGAAAATCGCATTCACTCGTGAATCTTCATGCAATTTTTAGGAGCACAAAAGAAGAGTTGCTAATGGCGAGTTCGATTATTCTTTCTGGAAGAAAGGCTTCTGGCACAGCGATAAGAGCAGAATGGAGATGCCTAATGTTGTCCATCACAGCAAACCGAGCATTGAAGGTGACAAACCATTATCGTTTGACTGGCAGTTCTACAAGAAAGCTAAAGATGACCCGGAATTCCTACAAGAGGAAAAAAAGAGGCAAAGCAAAGCAACAATGTTCGGTCCATGGTAATGCTAAGGTGAATTGTTTCTCAGTTACATATTGGCTCCATATAGTGTTTAGTTGGTTTTTTTTTTTTTTAATACCTGCTGTGTCCCCCAATTTTTTTTTTTTTTTTTGAAATGATTACTCGATTTAGTAATGTTTAGATTGTATTTTCGGAAACTGTTTTTTGCAGTTTAGGAAAGGTTGTCTGTCTGTACACTTTGGAATTCGAGGATGAAAATACCAAATGAGTGAGAAAATTCAAGCTGAGAAGCGGATATAGTTTGGAAATTTTCCGTTTGATGTAGTTCATATAAGCGGCAGTTCTTTACCTTGACAAATAGAGACAAGTTAAACTAGTCTGCACTCTGTCATAGTTGTTAATGCAAGGATTAATGTTCTAAAATGTACACGCCACAGTTTTATTCATTGTAGAATATTTGCTATCAGCTATTTAGTACGATGGGGAAGCATAATTTCTAAATTTCTGCGTTGTACAATAAAATATACATTCACTGCTCAGCATGTAAATTGTGAAGTACAGTATTGTTTTTGCTCTTCAATTCAATTAAATTTGTGTAAAAACTTCACTTCCAAAACAAAACAAACAAATATTGTCGAAATGAAACAATATACAGAATACTTAGAATTATTCAAACTTTATCACCGGGAACCCAACTACTGCCAAGTCCGAAAGATCTTAAAGTTCAGTGGTACCACTGACTTTCCCATTTTGTAGCTTCTGTAGTTTGCGTTGCGGAGATGCTGCAGTATGGTTCTGGAAGGGAAAAGAATTTATAAATAGTGAAACTACGCAATAGACTTATTAGCACGTGATCTTTAATACTGTTCACAAATAAAAATAAAAGACACCGTTGAACTGTTGGAACTACTATTTACGGTAAATATGACTTTACCTTGAAAGAACTCCTCTTGCTACGCGCAAAGATCTCTTCGTCATCAGCTGAATTTTCCTCCTTGTTACTATCTTCACTTCTAGAGTGTTTGAATCGAAATTGATCAATCTTTGAAATTAATCCAGGGAAACATTTACGCATCACATCGATCCAAGCATTTTGTAACATCTCACAACTGAAGTAAATTACATATCACTCTGTAACAAATAGCTGAGAGCGAAGTGTACACAAAATCTCAAATACATCCTAAATTCCTTGCTAGTATTACAAGTTTAGACCTCACCAATTCAGTTGTCCGATTGTTGCCATCCAATTTTGCTATTTTCGAGCGCAATGGTGACTACTCATTTAAGCTAAGTTTTTCCGACATAAGCCCCTTAACTCACTTGTTATCAATAGGTTTTGCACCAACATGAGGATGTTTAAGCGCCATATGAGTACGAACATGAGCTGCTTCACTACTAGTATATGAGCATTCCGAGCACTGATACTGTTTCAGATGATAATGCCGCTTAGCGTGATTCATTAATGAAGAAAGTGATCGGTAGTTCGGCATCATTTTTTGACAAAGCTGTAATAAATTTTCAATTAAAAATGAAAAGACGTGAAGTCTTCCGAGTTACGAAGAAAATATGACTGTCCTTTGCAAAGAGATGCGAACCTATGAAAGAATTGCTAAACCATGCAACTTCTCTTACAGAGAATAATAAAAAAAGTCTTATTAAGTCCTCTTCTATAATCTTTCCTTCCTGTGTAAGGAAAGTTGAAATTAAGTCAGACGAAAAATCCATACCTCACATCGAACGTGATTTCCGGTATCAGTACCAGTTTCATTTACTATAGACGTCATATATCCGCTAAAACTCAAAGGTGACAGACTATTTCGTTCCTCTTTTGGTGCCAAGCTTTGAAACTGTGTTAACATTTTGCTTTCTTCCTCATCAGCTGCAACTGAGATTTACCACTAACCATAGTTTAAAATGATTAAGCAAAGCAGCAACCGTTGGATATCATACACGAGAACTTTGAGTAGGATGTGTCACTCACGTACCTGGTGTGTCCGGGAAATATTTATGAAGGAACATGACAAGACTGCTACCGGGCTCCAATACTTCAACGTTTACATCGGCCGCAATTTCCGAATGTTTCAATGTGATATGAAGACGTACTTTCCACTTCAAAATAAATGTGGTCAGTAAATTATAAATAATGTACCCAAGTAGTTAGGAACAAAAAATTTGTACAGCGTTATAGCTTGACAAAGAAAAAAGAAAATTTAATGCGTTTATCATGAAAAGAAAAAAAAAATGAAAGGCACTAATCAAAGATTACAACATTTTGAATCATGTGGAAATATCGGTCTTATTCTTTTTTAACACAAGATGAAGTAAAACCTCTACCTGATCGGCATTCTGATAGCCACATTCCTCGCAGCAATATGGTATGCATTCTGTTTTATGCACTTTATCAAGATGTTCAATAAGTGCTTCAGCATTAACACGTTCACCGCATTCAATACAAGCATATGATAAATCATTCAGACCCGTTAACATTAAATCAGCCGAACGATCATTTTCTCCGTTCTTGGATGTTGAAAACTGGAAAGAAAAAAGACAACCGTACTGTCGGAGAAGACTTCATAGTCAAGAAACTGTTATCGTAAATTTAAGACAAGAATCTTCCACATTTCCAAAATGAAGTGAAACATTTCATTTCTTGTAACATGAAGGAACACCTTGGAATAACCCGGAAAACACTGGTCCATCAGTAGATCCCACTGATTTTGCATTTCCGGCGTAAGTGCATCCAACGGTTGACTAACATGATCCTTATGATTATGCTGCATATGTAAGCGTACCTACAATTTATCAGTACATTTTTGACTTGCTTTTCCTACAACATCATATATGTTTGCATCTGTAACTTGCTTACTGCTATCGAAAACATCTAGATCCAGTAGATGGAATAATCTGCATTCTCATTTTTTATTTTGAAGTTGAAATATATTTCACATATATATTTTGTACACGAAAAAAAGTTAAAGAAAACTAACTTTGGCCATTTCATTATGAGTGTAAATGCAATAAACACACTGGAACTGTTTAAGCGATGCATGCCGACGGACATGGTTAGTTAAATTTGATAATCGACTGGACATAATTTTGTTCTGACATAACTGACAAACAGCATACAATGACGGGTCATCATTAGCAATCATCCGTGATCCACGTGGTCGAGCAACAAACGGTATAGGTGATGGTATAGCAGTTGAAGTAGCCAAACCATGAATGGAATTAGAGCTGGACGATGCAGGAGAAAGATGAGTGGTATGATCATCGGTAATAAGCAACTGGGAGCTGTTGTCATCCGAGGATATCACTGAATCCTGTACGACCACAGTGTTCGAAAAATGTGTAAGATCAGAAACAGGGGCCGCCGTTGCATTAAGCACAGGGAGAAATGCATTTTCACGAATTTCATTCACAAATGACACTTCCGGGAAACCATTGTTTAACTGGAAAGATTTAGAAGTCAGATCGTTAATTTGAAATAGTAAAAGGAAAGTATTAAGACTAAGGTAGCGAACATCTTTTTCAGCATAACCAGTAATCCATGCAGTGGAAAGCATGAAACGATTTATGACTTCATACATTTAAGGATTAGAATGCAGTCCGTTCCCGCCTACTTCATACTTCCATACTTAATACTTGCACATTTACTGGGTAATAAACGACAGCAACTGCTTCCTTCCCCGCTCCCGATATTCCCAATTCCGAAATACTGTAACAATATACGAGCGAGCTGAACAAGAATTCCAGTCCCAAATTCAAATGAGGAGAACCGCGAGGACCATTTGGGGTTGGTCACATCCCTAACAAAATCGAAATATCTAATTTCGTCTCTGTTCTGTAGCCAGCGGTTTCTGGAGTGAGTAAAAACAACGATTTTTACAACAGAAATGGGAAAGATCGGAAAAGAAAAGATATGAAAGATTTCCTAAAGCAAAAAATTCCGCTTACATAAAGGGAAGACTTCAAATAAAGGAGCACAGATTGGAATTAAATAGAAATTAAAACAATTTTTAGAAGAATCCTTGGAAAAGGAGATAGAAAGTGGGATATGAAGGTATTGGGTCATACCGGAATTCCTCAGAAGTCATGACTCTTCCGGAAGAAACTGAATTCAACAAGGAGAAGAGAGACGAAGATCTTCAAAACACCAAATTGTACAAAATCCTGAAGATAGAACAAACCCGAAAAAGAATGGAGCAGCGAAAAACGCAATATGTGTTTCGTTTCTTCTAAAGCATACGAAAAATAAATAACTTTAAGAAACTTTTTGCGGAAAAAATTACGAAAAAATTACCAGTAAACTGAAAAGTTTGATGATATCGCCACCTTCGGGGATTCGTACAATAGCAAAATTAGGTAATCCAAGAATATCGTTAGCAGTGGTCAAGGGTTTTTGATGACCGGTGGACGACTGCAGCGCTGCCATCTACAGGTATCCTGCTGTTCTGTGTGAGGATAACAACAGCGCAAGTATGTTATTATTGTACTGCAGTAGCGTGTTAATGCCTGCTTGCCTGCGTGCGTACGTTAGAAAAGAAAGAGCAGGGGGAAGGGATGGGGAATGCGGACGGATGCGGGTTGCTCTCACCTCTATTTGTGGGGGGAGGGGGGGTAACATTCTGTCCCCCTATTCTACTCTGTAGTTGTATTCCTGCATGCAGTCCCCATCCTTCCCATTGCGCTGCACTTCTCGATTCCATCAAGCGCAAATCGATGGCCGAAGCAAGTTGCTAGACTGCTACTGCCCCTGCTACATGCACTCATAACTGCAGCAGCAACACCAGCACTACTTGGGCAGCAAAAGGGCGCGTGCAATGACTGCGCAACCTGCACAATCGTTTCTACGGCCCACCCTGTTCAGATCCTTTGTATGTCTCTGTGCATGCATGCATGTGTATATGTCTGTGCGTGTGTGTGCCTGCCCGTATTATTGTCGATTACAGCTCATGTCATTTTTTCCCAATGATTACTGCTCACAATCCAAAAGTGGCCATATACTGAGATTAGACATACTCCTATCAATACACACACATACATGCCCACAATCAGGCATACTCGCAAACGCATGTACATTAGCCACTTGCTCACAAAGCACGCATGTGTACCAACACATGCATATAAACACCTACATATGGGCGCGCATCTACACATAACACAGATGCACGTACATTGCATGTAATCATGTAATCGTACATATAGCAAACGTGCATGTGGATATACACAGCTATACGTGTGTGTATGTTCACACACATGTACATGCATGCACATACATGCATGTAAAGATGAAGGCTGGCTATATGTACGCAAGGTGAATGGGACTAGACTAGCGTTTCTATGTATTATTAGAAACTCGGGTAAGATAGTGGATTGTTGGCATGTCTTGGGAAGTTCACGAAACTAACAGCTGTTTGTTTTAATCATCGATGACCTGTGAACCAATAATAGGTGACAACAAACGAGTAAACATATACATGATTTCCTATGTTGTAGTAGCATGGAATACGCAAGCAACACTCTGGTACTGTCTCTGTTCTAAGATATGGATATATTTAGACTTTGTCCCATCTGGGAATTATTTGAATGAACTGCATGGACTGCACAGTAACTTACTTATTTCAGGGAACATATTCATTGCTTCCCAAATTAGAGATCTTTCATTTTTTCAAGGGAGAATTATGTAAGGTATCGATCGATCGATGTGTAAAACTCTCAGTCATTTTCCAATGAACAGAAAGAGTGGATTCATAACAATGTTGTGCATTGTCCTCTCTACAACTCACTTTCCTTGTCACGTAATGAGAGCTAAAATTTCGTACATATATGGAAAATTCGAAACTTTTCTTCAGCATATTCAACTGATTTCCTCCTGATGGTGCTAAAGTAAACTTCAAATATTAAATCTTGATCAGTAAGCAAGTGCATAGGCTATTTAGATCACACAACAGCGGACAGTCCCTCATTCCTTCCCACCACTTCCTACCCTCAAATTTGATTTCAGACCTCCAACCACATACTTCTTTAGGTCCACATATTTATCGTCAACCACAAGTATTGATTGCATCGATCATGCTCACGATATAATTCTCCAACACCATTTTATAACACTAACTTAAAAAATTTGCGAAACCAGACTTTCCCTTCCATCACAATCCTTTTGTGTTGCTGTTGTTACCGAAGGAAAACCAAAATTATAAGAGTATTCGTTTTAAGGAACTGAAGTGACCCGAAGTTGCCAATGTTTTAGTTATTTTTTACGTGAGCTGATCAAACACCACCGATTATCAGTAAAAGATTTAATTGTTGCGTGACATGAAATTTATCCAGAAATTACATTGTTTAAAAAAGCAATTACTGAGGAATGAAATATAACACAGTGTATAATAACAAGCCTGAGCATGGCTAACCGAGTATATATATATTCTTCTCAGAAACCTAGTTACACTGGTTGGTAGTTGCACAGGATATCAATAACAACGATGGATTTTCTCCCCATCAGAAGCCTCGTACAGTCTTACCACAATTTTACCTGACATTTGATAAATATATCACACTACCGCATGACACAACCACTGGCTCATTTTATCACGGCTGAGAGTAGGGTAACAACAGTACGTCGAGTAACCAAGATATAAAAGGGAAACTGGGTTCTTATAATCATGATCACTAGACTTTTACCAAAACAAGAAGCCTGCATTAGATGTAATAATATGCGTCAAGCATATGCATCGGGAATGCAAAATTAACTTTCTTACGGGAGACCTCAAAGGGATAATGCCATGTCGTGGAATAACGGAAATAATGAAAAGATTGGCTGCTATCACTTACAATGTCCTAACGGAAATTTTTAACCATCATGAAATTTTCCTTTGAAGTTACGGTCAGATTCAGTGGAATTAAAAATTCTTTCAAAGCTTGTCAAACTTCAAAATAAAAAAGCATGGAAAACCTGGGATACGCTTTCCGACCAGATCACCCATAAGCTAAATATATCAGATCTACAGTTACTTCAAAACACTTTCGCATATCACATTTAAAAAATTATTACAATACTGCGCGCATATATATATATATTAAGACATTGCATGACACTCTCACTTATGGTAACGCTAATTGAGTAAAAACAATGTAACTTGTTTCCATTTCATATGATTCCACAGTGCGCGTTTGCCTTACGCAAATTTTGAAAAGAACACCAGATCCTAGTAAACATACAATAACATCAAACACGAAAAATAAATAATTAAAACTTGTAGATAACTCTAAATCGGACCTGCACAGTTTTTTAAATAATGATTTGGCACAATGAAAAATGTTACTAGTAAAGTCAAACTTGACAAACGAAATCATTCATGAAAGAACAATGAATAATGAAAAATACAAGGCAACTCTCTAGATGATGTAGTCAGTGTAGCTGTCCGGATAAATGCAGTTTAAAAAGTATTCAAAAAATAAAGTACCGAAATGCACAGATCCTATTACCTATTAGTCCTGTCAAACAAATGACTAGCCGGACTAGTCGTAATTTCATCCAAAATTCCACGGCTAGAATTTGAATGCTCCCTTCATTTTAATCCACAATTTAAATTAATTTTAATTAATTCAATCTCCCTGAAAATTTCAATCACATATGGACTTCTGAAATAAATTTTCAGCTGCAAGAAACATTAAACAGAAACATCACTGGTAAGTACGTATCGTCAATTATGAAACTGAGAAAGAATGGATTTAAAAAAAAAAAAACTTTCTGAACACACAAAAAAAAAAAAAAAATACTACGGACAATGCCATACTAATAGAAATCTTTGGCACAGCAAACGGAGCAACGAGAAATATGTGGTGTAAAAAATCACAATATACAAATGCCCCGTTGCAGTAGCAGCAGTAAAACATGCAATCACAGCTAATAATTATGACACATAATGGGGACCACCGGCTTTGAAGACAGAAACGAGGACAATTCTGAACTGGATACGTTTAATGCACACTTCTTATGCACCTGTACCAGTTAACGGATTCTTGAGCAAGAAAAAGATTTAAAGAGTTATCCGACAAAAGTCAAACATATTCGTTTGCAATGTTGTGCCCTCTGTAATAGATCCATCTGGTCATATTCAGATGGTTTTCCTTGTTCTGAAGTGTTAAAAACAAGGTTAATAAAAATCTCTAACTGCTTAGTACGGTGTGTTCCCCAGTACATAAATACATATTTCACGTGATCACATATGGTATTTATAAACTAACAAACCCATCGTAAGCAAACACGCCCATTACAATAGTTCGTATTTCATATTTGCATCATTCATCAAAACAACTACAAAAACTTTAATTAGTCTCTCAAAGTTATGGGATTATTATCAGGCACTGAAATCCCACATTCGATTACGCTACACATCAATTAAATAAAAATAAAAATATTGTAACACCTGACAGGGCCAGTTTATATCTAGCGGAAGCGACTAGCTAATGGAATAACGAGTACATGTTTTATATATATAGTATTAAAATACAGAAAAGCACCAAACGGAATGAGCAATTTGTTGAATGTAAAGCTATGGCAAGAATCGAACCAGTTTTACGAAGATAAACTGGAAGATATTAGAACCATCTTTCTTTTGAAGTTAATACTTCACTGCGTTGAATCAATTCCACTGGTATCCATATCCGGTGATGGTGAAGGTAACATCATATCCAACCAATCCATAGCAATGTTCTGAAACTATAATCTGATACATTAGAGAACTGATCGAATGAAGCAATAAAACGACAAATACATGTCTAAGAAATGTATCCGCAATGCTGTGAAAGAAATCCGAAATCTTACCTGATCCACGATTTGGTTGTGACCAAAGGATACAATTAATGGATCACTTTGGTTTGATGCCCGCTCATCTATATTATCCACTTTCTCATTATGAACATTCGGCTAAAATAAAAGTCTTTATCAGAAGTATAACATTATGAAAATTATTTACAACACCACTATTTTTCTCACAATGGGAATTCGAAGACATACTAATTTACATTTACAGTCAAAAGACCGACAAAAAATTAAAAAATCACACTGTTAACTATGTATTGCTCAGCAGATTGTGAACAAACCGATGTTGTTGGTATTGCACAGTCATGCCGGAACCAATCATCACCTAACAGTGTTGCTAGCTCATCTGATCCATAAACTATTCCTGCACCAAAATCGAGATTGTCTGATTTCAAATCATTAGCACCTGCTAAAAAGCAAAAAAATTAATTTACAAGTTATAAATAATCTCACTACTTTCAGATTTGAAAAAATGAAATTAAAAAAGTACAGGAATGGACATCAGTTGAAAATCTCAACTCTATTACTGATGATATTTAAGTTGAAAACTGTAAACATCTTAATTCTTTTTCCTAGCTTATTCAGCATGCAAAAGTCACTGCTTTAAA